CCTTCCTTCCTTCCTTCCTTCCTTCCTTCCTTCCTTCCTTCCTTCCTTCCTTCCTTCCTTTCTTTCTTTCTTTCTTTCTTTCTTTCTTTCTTTCTTTCTTCTTTCTTTCTTTCTTTCTTTCTTTCTTTCTTTCTTTCTTTCTTTCTTTCTTTCTTTTCTTTCTTTCTTTCTTTCTTCCTTCCTTTCTTTCTTTCTTTCTTTCTTTCTTTCTTCTTTCTTTCTTCCTTCCTTCCTTCCTTCCTTCTTTGCCTCCCTCCCTCCCCTATGTGGGAACATTTTCATTTGATAAGCCCTAACAAGGTAAAATGAACTGAACATTGAACTGAGCAGATGCAATAGCTTTGCTTATGAGGAACTGTATGTTTCACTGTTTCTTTTTTTTTTAAGGTGAGGTGTTTATTGTGCTCCAAGGAGTTGGGGTACAATAATAACACAAGCATTAGCCTATTCACTACCCTCTCCCTAGTTCACAAGCACTAAGCACTGATTAAGCCCATGCCATTTTTCTAGAGTCACATGCCTATCACATTACACTACTATTCTGGGAAAAATTACACACAGAGAATACATTCAAAAAATATTTTATTATACACATATGTATATACATAATTTAGACAAATGATTTCATCCTTCACCTTTTGTGAAGTCATTCCCAAGAGCAATAATAGACAAAAATTCAATGCATCACACGTGTTAAGATACAGCTGGCTGTGATTATACACCTGGCCAGTAGGTGGTTTCGTGTGCACATGAAGCTTCAACAAATGAACCCTTTCTAGAACCATTTGGCTCAAGTGGGGCTTCATCTCACCATCACTAGTGGAATGCTAATATGAAGTGATTCACCTGTCTTTTCTGTGTCCTCTCCAGGGTGTTTGGACAAATGCTGTCTTGGGGCTCCAGACACCATTTATAAGTTCCAGGAGAGGCCATTGAAAAGTGGAGGCAGGGGGAATTGTTAACTCTTTATGGGTTTTGTGGTGTTTCATTATGTTCTAATGATAAAACATAAAATATTTATCAAGACTAAGTGGAAATGTTTGTATTTGGTAAAAGGTATTTTATTTAAAAAAAAATATTTTATCTAAATAAAGTTATTTAAACAAAAGGTATTTTATTTAAATAGGCGGAGATTGGTGAATTGAGATCCCCCTGTGAATTAAAGGTGATTTGGTCCTTCACAGCTGGGAATATTTAAGGCTGCAGTTTCACCTGTGAAATTATTATTGATGCTGTGTGAAGAATAAACCATTGCTGTTTCGATTCCCACCCCGGGGTCTTTCTGCACAGGGTTTGCATGTTCTCCGTGTGCGTGCGTGGGTTCTCTCCGGGTTCTCCGGCTTCCTCCCACAGTCCAAAAACATGACTGTCAGGTTAATTGGTCTTTCCAAATTCTCCCTAGGTGTGAGTGTGTGTGTGCATGGTTGTTTGTCCTGTTTATCTTTGTGTTGCCCTGCGACAGACTAGCGACCTGTCCAGGGTGTACCCCGCCTCTCGCCCGGAACGCAGCTGGAGATAAGCACCAGCAACTCCCAACCCCATTAGGGAGAAGGGTGATCAGGAAATGGATGGATGTTTCCACATGACTCTGCCTCAGCTTTTTTTCCTCACTGTAAAATCCAGCTGCAAAAGGCCGCCTTATTACAATTAGAAGTATAGTTAATGACAGCAGTCACTGTGAAACAGGAGTTTACTATTATTTCAAAAACAAAGGTTGCAGAGTTAAAATTCAAACTTTCTTCTGTATCTTCATCAATCGGTGTGTTTGGTATGGTTGGTTTTCCTGAACAGCAGCATGACAAAAGCGAAAACATGACTTCCACACAGTTTCTATGAGTTATGCTTTTCAGTTACCAATCAGGGGCGAGCTCGCTGGAAGTGGTCTGACAATAGTTTTAACTGATTTTCCAGTGCATCTCTATCTTAGCCTGGTTCCATTTGCATCAGGGATTGCTGATATTCAAACCACCATGGTACTGTTTTAAATTACAGTAATTACACATAGGAATATGCTTTTTACATGATTGGTTATGTGACAATTAGTTTAAAGTATTTCAGGGTATTTAAGTCGATTGTCTTGTCAGCTGTTCATGGTCCAGTTTGGTTTTTTTTCTTATTGCGGAGAATTCAATATTTTATGATTCAGCTATAGTTCTCAGTAGAGATTAAATTAATTTCACTTCATAAATTTGTATAGATTTTAATGGTTAAAACAAAGAGCATGCTCACGTTTGGTGTGTTTTTTATTTCTTCAGGTGGTTGATGTGACATGGAGATATTCCTGCAAACATGCAGAGGTTTTGTCGAGGAGAACCAAGGTGCAGGAGGCGTGGCTGCTACACATCATAAATGGCCTCAATGCTGCTGTGAGTTCCAGCGGTTTTTAATCTGCTTTTCAGAATGAGTCGCTGTGGTGCCAGTGGTAAAAACTTGTATTTGTTCTCTAACAATGAAGAGACAGCAGTCCCTGAGTCCAGACAGGAAGAGGGAACTGACAGAGAGGCTGCTTGTTGAGCTAGTGGAGTTCATTTCGCCAAAGACACCCAAACCCGGAGAACTGGGAGGCCGTAGCTCTGGGTCTTTGGCTTGGAGAATAGCACGTGGGGAAACCAGAGCAGCTGATAAAAAGGTATCCACACAGATAGAGTAAATCACTGAGACAAGGCCAATGCACTTGAACAAGATGAGTTGGTTAAATCAAAGCAGATTGTTTGTGCAGGCTGCGGCAAGAGCTTAAAGACCACCTTTTCTCCATCAGTTTTTATTGTTGCAGTTTGCTAAATATACTGAATTAATTTAGAGATTTTCTTGTTCCACATAGCAGATTACCTCTGAGCCACATTCATACACAGATTGAAAGGCAATGTGCGGTTATAGTGCCTTACCAAGGAGCACATCAAACACATTGTACAGGTGGAAGCTGGAAGCAAATCTACATTTTTCCAATTTCAATACAGCTACTGCTCCCATTGAGCTTGCCCAACTGTTTGAATCGAGTCCTAAATTACAATAAGTGATTACTATGAGATAGAATTCAAATGCATTAATACTGCATTGAGCCCAAAGGAAGATTAAATATTGCAGTAACTCATATCAGTTGTAATGCATCATTTAGAAAGTTGTTGAAAATAAATGTAATAAACAGAAATGTTACAATACTATGTGCGTTTTTGCAGATCCTCACACCATCTGGAACCATCGGTCAATCCTCACACATGGACAAAAGAGGGTGTCTATTTTTTTTATTTAACCATGCATCTGTTGCTGGTTGTTTCAGACTGAAGCTTTTGTGTTCAAGCCGACTGATGAAGAAAAGAAGGCTAGGTTGCTTCACATGCGCTACAGTGCCCCAAAGGACCAGTACTGTCGGGTGTCCAGCTCCTCTGAAATAATCCCAAACTGGGATCAGTGTGTGTGGACAAAGGAGTCCGTCTTCAGAAAAGTGGAGAATGATTGGAAGATGGTGTGTTTATTATTCTTGACATAGCAAAAAAAAGATAAAAAAATTTAACTTATGCTTGCTTTTTAGTAAATGTTTAGTCTTTAAAGATGTGTTTTAAATAATTGCAACAAACAGTTTTATTGTATTCATTATTGTCTCAATTTCAGACTCTTAAAATTAAATAAATATTTTTAGTATGCTACTAGTGGTTAATGTGGGTAAAGATCTCCTTTGATTTTCAATGCAAGACTTTGGAATTTACTTATTTGAAAACTTATTACCAAAGAAAAATAAGATGACAGTAAGTACACATATATTTAGATTCTGAACAAAATTGCTGGTTAACTTATTAGCACTCCTCTTTAAGCCTTAAATTCTAAACAACATCCAGTATACAGTTTGTGGCTGTAATAGTGGTTGATTGACTTTCTTTCTTTAGGTTTACATCGCACGGACAGAAGGCTCTACTGTTGGAAGAATCAGCTGGAAGTTTGACTTTGCCTCAGCTGGGTTGAAGATCCATTCCGTCTCTGTCATGGCCAACAGCAAAACCTTCCAGTCTGGGAAAGTCTGCTGGAGCTTGCAGTCGGGACAGATGACAACCGAGTTTTCTGGGGGTATACCTATGTACTATGCTTTAAGGGGAACATAGATATTTTGTCATCAGTTTAGTTTTTTGTCTAACCTTTACCTCCTGTTTTTCATCCATCAGATGGAAGGCTCCAGTCGTTCTCCAGCCTGTCTGGATCTTCAGAGCTGATTGTGGCAGCAGAACTCAGTGGGGGAGAAGGGGACACCTCATGGCAGCACTCTCAGCTATTCAGACAAGGCTTGAACGAACAAGAGGCTTCATTTGAAGTCGTCATCCAATTACAAGATGCATAGTCTTTGTTTTTATTTTAAATGTGACCCTTTTTTCTCACTTTTGATTGTCCATGTCTAGTTTGGAATAAAAAGAATCTCTATACAGTTAATATTGTCAGAGGGAATAGTGCAATATTTAAACAAGTGTGTGACCTAATGAATGAATGGATATATCTGTTGCATATTTTTCAATTTGGTTTGGGGCATTCACTCATAAATGAGGTACAAATGCAACCAGAAGCCATATAGTTTTGGAATATTTGCTTTCAATGTTAAAATGTATTTACAATTTGAGGATCAAGAGCAAGTCCATCACAGCTCTGATATTTCCTGTTGGTAATAAAAGTCTTATTTACAGTGTTTTATAATTATTTACATCACTCCATGCAGAGAGTGTTCTAATTGCTATATGTCGGTACGAGGAGAAAAGACATTGCTATAAAATAAAGATAAATTTAAGGTTGTCAGTGCAGATGTAAAATTTAACAGCACCGTATTCCTTCAAACTGTTTTACCTCTCCAAAGTCAAAATAGAAGTCGAAGAAGTACTGTATATCATAAGCTTGGCTTTTTGCCGCCATCTTGCGTTGAGAAAAGAGCAGGGGTTAACTTAAGCAAAGAGTTCCTATTGGTCAAAACACCGGTGCTTTTGAAAAGTGAGCATCTGATTGGTTAGTTTTCCAGCAAGACGATTTGCTGTGTGTTGCAGATGACGGAGCCGGACATCGGGCGCTTCTGTTAGCTAAAATGCGTTTTTATTATTAAATGAAGCAACTATTTAATTAACTGTTTTCCAGAAGCTTTTAGTGAATGTAATATTTTATTACTCATCGCGTGTTTATGAAATTTGACACCTATTTAAGTCGTTTGTTTTGTACAGTATTTATTATTGAGCCTTGAGCCCGGTTAGCATCTTTGTTGAAAGTTTAGGCCTAGGGTACCACCGCTGGTCGATTTTAACAATAGCTGCGATAAACTGCGCTTCTTTGCTTGTTTTGATTCATTCCCGGGATTGGGTTTCAAGCTGCCGAAGAAAAGAGTATGGATGATACACAAGTTTTTGTATCTTTTAGCATGTAATACCCCTGCAAAGTTGACGGGCTTTTAATTTGACTGGAGCTGAAGACATTTTGCGAGCTGCATCATAAACAAATTAAGGATCACAAAGGAAGATGTCCAACGGCGCTGCAGGAAACGGGGGGCTGGCCTGGATGGTAAGTTAGTTCAGGATTAGACTAACGTAGAAACTTGGAATATTTTGCTGTTTTGTGTTTTTACGTTTAAAAGTTTTACTATAACCTAACGCTGGCTCGGTCTGAGCTGAAAATATCGTTTAAATGTCCCTGGCAGTCCGAGGGGTTCTCCCACTGTTCCCTGCCCGGCTTCTGTGTCCCTTTAAAGGACTAACCTGTACCCCACAGGCCGGAGCCAAGTAACATTAAATACCGTAGGTGTGCTATTTTTATTTTCCCGAGCTTACTACAAATGTAATCCAAGTGTAGTAGAGACAGTGAGGATAGCATACGAAGCTGAAGTTAGGTTCCGATTCACCACCGGTATAAAAAGCTTTTTCACTGCCTTATGGAATTTCTGGAAAATTGTTTTTGTTCGCATGAGTTCAAAATCTAAACCATTCTAAACTGATGTCAGATTCTTTCTGACATAGTTAAGCCTTTTTAAAATACTTTTACTCGTTTCGAAACCACTAAGAAGAGCAGTAGTTTTTGGCATTTAGGCCACTTTAGATGAGGTTCTGTCTGAAAATCCTAAACTGGGTTAGACTTTAGAGAGGACTTTACCTATGAACTAACATAGATGTTAGTCCAGCAGAGAGATGTAGCAATAGTATTTTTTCCAATTTTTTAAAGTTTTGCTTAATGAACGCATGTTTTGCTTTGTACTCTATTAGAAATTCATAGGGCCATACCAAGTGAACTGTATTCATATTTTGGCATTTCTATGAAAGTAAACAATATTCAACTATTTCAAAATTATGAATTTATAGTAAATTTTTGGGGAACAACATTGTGCTATTGCTCAAGGGAAGTATTAAACCTACCATCCCTCTATTCATGTATAGAACTACCTATACATGAATTATAATACAAATTATAATTTGTATTAGTAGAATAATTTTCACTTAGTGGATAGGGTACCAAAACTGGCTCCACCTCAGTGGCCTAATAAATACACTCAGCCTATTATCTGTGAAACTTTGATATTTTTGGAACCCAAAATATTTTTAAAATCATTTACGAAAATCTTTACTGTAAAGGAAGAAAATGGATTTTAAGGCAATAAGAGGGTTGTGGATTTGGGATTTTTCTGCATGGCGTTTTCATGTTCTCTTTGTGCATGCACAGATTCTCTCGGGGTACTCTTGCTTCCTGACTGAAATTAATTGGTGTCTCTAAATTGTTCTTAAGTTTGTGTGTGTGTCTGTATCATTGTTTTGCCCTGTGATGGACTTGAGATCTGTCCAGGGTCTCCCCTGCCTTTTGCCTAAGTACTTTAGTGGGGATCAGAGGGTATAGGTTATGGATGGGTGGGTGGGGTCCGGGATTACTGTTATCAAGTTACCCACCTTAAATGGGATCTAGCATGACAACTGTAATTTTGTGTACTTGTTTGTATTTTTATTCAAAACTTATATCCAAGTCCTGGATTGGTCTACAAGTAGGACATAAGATACATATTTTTTTCAGAAATTGAAAATATATTTTTTGTAAGTCTAGATGTTATTTAAATGCTTTGAAACAATCAGAATAATCCCATCCAATATTTGAACACTCAAAGTTTCTGCATGTTACAAGCTGAACTCTGTACCAGGTGGTTTGGCCAATAAAGGCATTGAAATGGAACATTTTCTTCTTTTTAACTCCTGAAGATAATGTTTCCCAAATCACAAACTGTATTAAGATAGTTGTTTAAAGAAAAAAGAAAAGACCGGTTCTGGTCAGTTCAGGTATTTTACATTTTCATCTCAAACAAACCCACAAATAATAAAGATTTCCTAATGGTAGTGAAGCTGCGCCTGTGCTGAATTAGATCCTACCTTCAGTGTCTTCAGCTGAACGAAGACACCTGAACGAATTGTTGTTGATTTATTACAATTTATTTGTCATTAGTGGAACACCATATGTGCTATAATATTTGCATTTAGCAGTGTTTGAATTGATGCTGTTCCTTTTAAACTATGCAATACTTGAAGCCTCATGTAGCAGCTCTACATCTGAGAAATCACTCTTAGGTTATTTTATTCTCTTTTTTCATACCCAAAAAACAGGCTGCTTGTTGTGAAGAAAAATCATATTTTGCTAAACATTTATCACAATCTAGAGAGTGATGCTTAAAAGAAAAAGGAAAAAAAAAACATCAATCCATTGTTTATACCTGCTTAGCTGTGAAGCGTCGCAGAACGTGGCTAGTGCCTTTCTCCAGCGCTCTTTGGCTGAGAGGTGGGGGACACCATGGACAGGAAGCCAGTCCACCAAACGGTAACACAGATACACACACAGTCACTGCTAAAGGACATATTCAGTTCAGGAAATTAAATTAAATGTCGTAACTCTGTCATCCAAGTATCTTGAAAGAATGTTTGTAGATGGTGATGCTGTGGGCAGGAAAGATCTCCAGTAGCAGTCAGTTTTGCAACCCATCTGAAGAGGCCTTTGACTGAAGACTGTTGCTGATCGTTTCATAACCTTTATGACATGCGAACAGCTCCACATCCAGGAAGGATGCTGCAGTATTCCACAGCAGCATGCCCTGGATGACTCCAGCTCTCCTGCTCCTGCTGCTCCTCTTTAAATCTGTCTACACAGCTGGGTAGACAGAAACGACCACAGCTGCTTTTTTTTTTTTTTGTTTGGCCTTTGGAGCAGGAGGAAGCAGGAGCACCAGGGGAGGACCATGGTGTGTCCGGAGAGAACAGGCAGACTCCATACAGTCTGCCATATAGACTCCATACAGTTGATAGTTATCAAAGTCAATTTCTACCTTTATTCTAGTTTGTTCGTCTGGTTTAGAAATAATTACGATATTTAAATCCTCTTTGTTCTGATAATGTCTTAAACAGGAGGCTGCTAATGGCAGAGGAGACATTGGAAAGATTGATGGAGGGAAGAAAGAAAAGGCAGGCTCCAAACTGTCTGTGGAGCGAGTGTACCAGAAGAAGACTCCTCTGGAGCACATCCTCCTGCGTCCTGACACATACGTCGGCTCCCTGGAGCCCGTCACTCAGGTGAGCTGCTGATGCTCTGCTTTTTCACTGGTTGTCAGAGTGATGCTGTCACTGCCTCTGAACCAATCAGAGCCCTCAGAAAATTAAGATCAAAACAACAAAAAGGCTAACACCAAGCTATTCTTCTCCTGTCCTTTTTTCCCTCACAAGTTCCCTAACTTCCACCCAACCCCACACACAAACACAATCACATACCACGTGTTTTATTTCAGAATATTTCTAGCTTTTCAAGACGGAAAATTCGTATAATGTCTATGATAGCAGTTTTTTAAAAAGCAATCAACTGAATCCCGGTGGAATATAAAAATGAGCAAACAATGTAAAAGGTTCTGTGATGGTTGGCTATTTAACAAAGTTTCTTTACATGGAGTCTTATGTCTCAGGTTCATTTGTCAGTTTTAGGTAGTAAAACCTGGTTATGAAAAATTGTGTCAATTCACGTTAACCAGTTCCTTTCTGCAGTCGCTGCATATGAACACAGTTGACTCTTGGAGCTGGATGTTTTCTGTTTCTTTTTATTAATTTAACCTTTGAACGTTTTCAGCAAATGTGGGTGTTTGATGAAGATGTCGGAATGAACCAGAGGGAAATCACCTACGTTCCTGGACTCTACAAAATCTTTGATGAAATTCTTGGTAAGAGAATCTGAGTTTAGAATTACCCTCTACCAGCTTTTATCTAGTCTGTCATTGTAATTGCACAGCTCAACAAATTGAACAGTGGGTATAATGAAGCCTGTTACAATAAGCAATTAATCACATGACAAATTAAAATGAGCTTGATCATTTCCATTCTTATGATTAATATTTTTTTGAAGATCAATTTTGTTTACAAAGACCACAATCCATTTTATTTAGGATTCCGGTTCTGTGTGGTTTTTATTTTTATTTTTTATTTTGGATATTTAAAATATATTCGAGTCCCAGTGTTAAGTCTTCTTTACAAAATTAAACTATTCATTTTTGAGGGGTTAAGCTCTCATTATTAGGCCATTGTCAATACTTTACTTGAAAATGTTAAAACAACAATATTGTTTATTGCAATAATTACTGGCACAATTTATCGTCCAGTAAAATTTGTTATTGTGACAGGCCGAGGTGGACTTAATTTTATTGCCAGCAATTTAAACATTGTGTTTGTTTGTTTTTTTATTGTTCAGTTGAATCAGTTTCACTGTGAAATGCTCTAAGGGGCATGACTAGAACAGTGAGTCTTAGTATCAGCTGCAGCTGTTTCATTTTCCCACACCTCAGAAGTAATTCAACGTGGAAATACCTTTAAAAGTAGCTGCAGTTTCCTTCCTGTGGACTTTAAAATGACTGTGGATAATGAACCAGAGTGTGACAGAGTGCTCAGGTACGGTTTTATTGGTGAGAATCACTGTTTTTACTTCAGTCATGAAAACCTCAGCAGCTGTTAGAATCCTCACAGAGCAATTGGGCTAATTAAAGGTTTGAGGCAGAGTTCAAATAAACATTTGAGCTACACAGACGAGGAAGTGTCTCACACTGGACATTTTACAGATGCAGAGGACAAGTTACTCACATGGCTCAGTTGTGTATCTAATTAATTGAGGACATTGCAGTGACCTCTAACATTTGAATATTTTACACTATTATTTAAACAGAGATAATTTTATACATACAATAAATTACAGTTGCTGCTGTTATGTTTACAACTCAGGGGTCTTATTAGCAGAATATTTTCCATAATTGGCAGTTTTATTTTAAAAAATGCAATGGAAAAATTTTAAGCCCCTCTCCACTTTTGATCATACTTGGTGCAGAAGCAGCTAGAAGGTGTTAAAGCTGAAAACTGGAGAAGTAACCCTACTTACCCAAATGGTGGTCTGGAAACAAAAGCAGTAAAACCTTAATTAAAATAATATGTGTGGCTTAATTCAGCCTGGTGCCACTAACTCTTAACTAATTAAAGTTAGTTAGAGTTGGGCTGGACTCAGACACAATGTCCATGGACTCGGTCCGGGTCGGCCTAGGGCAGGGATATCAAAGTCAAATACACCGAGGGCCAAAAGACCAAATTTGCTACAAGCCGAGGGCCGGACTGGTTCATCGTTTATTAAAACATATTGAAATGTTGCACATAGCCTATTGAACCAAGACCTAACACAGTTTATATTATTTAATAATTAAACGAATAAACCAATATTTTCTTATGGATCTGTCAGTAATTTCAAGTGAAACCATTTTTCAACATGCAAACAGACAAAAACAAACTTCCTTCAAAGAAAAATAGCATGTTCTGTACAATAAAAGAAGAAAGCAATATTTTGTTATGACCTCAAGGGAAAACATTTTCAACAGGCAAACAGTAAAAAACTAAATTGTTTTGAAAAACTACACATATTTCTTAATATCAGTATTATTACATAAATTAAAGTGCATGCATTATAAACTGAAAATGAATTATTGTGCTGCTCTATGATGTCCATATTCTCGTCTTTGTGTGTGTTTCTGAGACGCTTGATAGTGCCTTCTTAGATTATATTCTTTCATTACAGCCAAACTTTCTCCACACAGAAAACGCACAGGCAGTGATGGCATAGTTACTTTGAAAAACTAACTTTGATCAGATTACTGATTACTCCTTGAAAAAGTAACTTAGATTTCTGATTACTTGATTTGGAAAGTAACTAAATATACATTAAAAGTAACTTTTTTTAGTTACTTTCAGCAGCTGCTAACAACAGCAATGCTCCGACACCAGTGAAAATCACATTGATCTTTGCCAACACTTATTTGCAAGTTATTTTATAATGATTACATCAACAATGTGTCTCCACTTATATGACTGAACTGAAGGGGAGATTGTTTAATAGTTACATCAGTACAAAAAAAAACTTTAATAATTTGTGTGTTTTTGTGTGTTTCTATTGCCTGAAAAACTAGGATTTTAGACTGCCAAAATACTCTTCTCCCTCCATTGTTTATGTTTCTGTCGCTGCTGATACTGTCTCATAGACTCTCTACAAAGCGCAGAGAGGAAATAAAATTTTATTAAGCACAGCAATGCACAGTGATTCGATAAGTAACTGTAGTCTGACTATCTGATTTGAAATAGCAACGCGTTAGATTAATTGTTACTGAAAAAAGTGGTCCGACGTAACGTGTTACTGACATAACTGCACACAGGTTTGTCTTTTACCTCCATGAACATGTGCTCTGCCTCCCACCTGGCTTGAAACCCCCTGTTGCCAGCGTCTAAGTTTAGCCATTTTTGAGGAGGGGGGTACCTGAAAATTGATATCTGCTCTGATTGCTGATGAAGCCGCTTGTGCTGCAGTGACTTCGCGGGGTTCCGTTGCATTGTGGGGAATGTAGTGTTGGTGCGTGCAAAACGACAGCGGTCCACTGTGGCTGCGGGCCGGTTCTAATTGTATTTATCATCTAGAGGACCACAGATAATTAATTCACGGGCCGAATCTGGCCCGCCGGCCTTGACTTTGACATATGTGGCTTAGGGTTTTTAGGTCCGATATACACTCCAGCTCGCCTTTCCCCTCCGGTCGCTGTCCAGGAGGAGGCTGTGAATAAAAGAACATCAATCTGATTTCTTTTTTTAACAATGATAAATAATTTCTGGGGACAGTCACTATGTTCTGACATAGACTAAATCCTCGTGAATTCATCACAATCCAACATTAGTTGACAACAAATGTTGGACTGTGTTCCAAACATTGTATTGCTATGTTTATTCGACACACAGTGGCGCTGTGATGAGGGCATCTTTTCTGTACATTGTCCGATCCATACGATAAGCAATGTTGTGACAAGTTGCTCTGGAAAAGACCTAACAATGTTTGACCTGGCATCAACTACAAACTTCGGTCTCTATTTGGTTAAAGTGAATTCTTGCATGATTTGAATGCACATGTGAATGCTAAGCAGACCACAGGGCATTCTGGGTAAATACAAGCAAAACAAACATGTGAGTCTAGCACTAACAGGTAAAATGGCTTATGGTTTTTTACCAAATGCAAAAGAGAAATCATCCAACTGCTAAAATCGTACACCACTCCATTTTTGTTTACATGTCCTGAAGAAGAAAGTTGCGCTCAGTGTCTTCTTCAAAGGTTTTCATGTCATTTCCTTCAGTGGTCCTTGGTGCAGAACTATCACAGGCAAGTGGAGAAACAGGTTTTTCAAGAGGTTTGGTTGGTTTGACACAGAGCAGAAAGAAAGAGAACCACTCTACACTCTAAATGTTGTTTTCTTCCTCTGACAGTCAATGCAGCAGACAACAAACAAAGGGACAAGAACATGTCTACCATCAAAGTCAACATTGACCCGTGAGTTTCTCATTTACTTCATTAACACAGATGGCTTTGTGTCAGTAAGGGGGCAGATCTGTTTGTTGGAAAAAAAAAACTGCTGTGCCATCTGTCATCAGCTGTGCTCTCTGTTCAGTAGCTGTAATAACTGTTGCTGCTGTGGTGCCAGGTGTGTCCTCATCTGACTCATGAGCTGCCTGATGAATAATCTAATTAAACATGCCTCATCCTGGTCTCTGCAGCTGATGTGCTTACACAGAGATGATGATAATGATGCTAATGCTTCTTTTCTACTTTTCCAAGCCTGCATGGTGGATGTGAACACTTGGATTGTATTTAAATTCTTTAATCTGGAAAAAAAAAAGCCTTTAAATTTTATAGTAGAAATGTCACCCTTTACCCAGAGACATTACGGAACCGAGTTATGAAAAGATCTGAGCACTAACTACTCATCTTTCCATATTTGCCCTGTGGCCACAAGCTGACTGTAGAGGTGGATGCTGAATGTTCTGGTTTTATATCTCTGTATGTTGCTTTTTTAGCTTCTATTATAAAACAAAAGACAGGGAGATTATCTGAAGGTGCATCAGATGCACCTTCAGAGCCTTTGGACAGGACAAGCTGCTCACAGATGATGGCAACAAGTGGCTGTACAAAAACAAAGATCATGGCATGCTGAGTGCTGCTGCTTCTCTGGGTATGATCCTGCTTTGGGACGTGGACGGTGGTCTGACTCAGATTGACAAATACCTCTACTCCTCTTCGAGGTTGCTCTTCTTGTTTTAATTAAAGTACTTTAACAATGTATTAAGTACAATAGGGAGTTATCTTGTGAACTATAAATGTGTTATATCTTACACTGGTTATATTTTCCCTCTCCAGTCTGTTCTTTGTTCTCCATGTAAGAATTTGATGCTTTAATTTTTAAAATGTTTTCACAGCTTGTTAAATGAATCTCAGAGTACTTTGTTTACGCTAGCAGTTCCAGGTTATTATTACTGTTATTAAAAGTGAAACTGTGCAGTGGATGATTGAGTGATTTTTCTCCCACCTTCCCCAGTGAATCCAACACCATCAGCATTTGGAACAATGGTAAAGGCATTCCTGTGGTGGAGCATAAGGATGAGAAGATGTATGTTCCAGCTCTCATTTTTGGCCACCTGCTCACCTCCAGCAACTATGATGATGATGAGAAGAAGGTCACAGGTAAAATATCAGTCAGTACAGGGATGGTCCAGTCAAAGCAATTCTTTCATTAGTCGGTTCATCCAAATCCACCAAGGTTCTCAACTTTGTATAAGTAATAAATATAAGGCTGCAACTCACAACAGCGATTTAATCTATTAATTATTCTGATGATGAATTAATTAATGGTACACTCTAGAGATTTTTAATTTTAGCATTTTTTTTTATTCAAAATTATAAATACATCTTTGTTCCATTTTGTTTTTCCTTGCCTTTCCGCATGTATTACTAAGCTCAGCTTAGTCGTGAAAGTTTAAATGGGCCTATACTGACTGTTGGTCTGTGTCCAGGTGGAAGGAACGGCTATGGTGCTAAACTCTGCAACATCTTCAGTACCAAGTTCACAGTGGAAACTGCCTGCAAAGAGTACAGACACAGCTTCAAACAGGTGAGCTGGAGGGGAGAGAGCTCTGGTAATGTTAGCATTAAGAGAAGTGATGCCTTCACAGGCACACTCTCACACACACACCATCCCTAGTGAAGGAAAAACAGTCCTTGAAAATGAGCGTTAGTCATAATTTATGTAATTACTATGTTCTCCAACAATATCACAATCTAATCTTTTTCAGGAATTGTGCAGCAGTAGTTCGTATTAAGAAGTGATTTTAATTTTGTTTCAAATGTAACTGTTATGAAAATGTAATGATTAGTTTCTTTAGGTAGTCAATGATGAAACCAATCAGAGAGCAGAGTGAGATTTGGAGCAGTTAATCAAAACTTCTCTCCTCAGACATTTGTTCACATAGTTTGGACTGGCAGTTTGTAGCCTTGAATCATCATCACTTTGAAAATGATTTTTAGGCAGACTCTGGACTCCACTGTTGCAGTGAATGGAGATATTTATCCCCAGACTTCATTCCCAGTCTGGACAAAGGAGGGCCCTTCCCGCTCAGGGTCAGGAGACATAATCTACATTAACATTCCACTAACAGCAGGCCAGAGAGACTTAAATGTGAGAGTTTTTCCTCTCAAAATACCATAAGGCTTTCAAACCTCAGGGAAAATACTGATTCCTTTACAGGGTCTTGTCGGTAGTTTGCCTTTGTGGTCCTTGAATACTTTTATAATAGTTTGAATGCTTTCTAGTTTTTTTGCTGTCATTACAAGGCAGTGTAGGATCTTAAAGGGATAAAGAAAACATTGTCTTTGTCTAAGTTTAGTCCATTATGAAGCAATATCTTCCTTGGTGGCTTTTGATTTGTGAGTGAAGTGAATTCTGTTTTTGTAGGCGTGTGAAATGCTGTCAGATTTAAGGTAAGACTATTCTTGTCACAATTTGGTGGCGTCACAGGGTGTTTTTCTATCTTTATGAGACATGGACAAACTGCACATTATAAGTCTAGGGTGTGTAGCAGTTGTGCACTTTGATGTGTATGCAGGTTTAACATGCTGTGTGTCAAAGTTATTTGCAGAAACAACAGGTGTTAAACAGTGTGTGTGTGAATATCTCTTCAGACATGGCAAAACAATATGACCAAGACATCTGACCCCAAGATCAAATTCTTCGATGGAGAAGACTTCACCTGTGTGACGTTCCAGCCAGATCTAGCCAAGTTCAAGATGGACAAGCTGGACAAAGATATTGTAGCCCTTCTCACCCGCAGAGCGTATGATGTAGCCGGCTCCTGCAGAGGAGTTAAAGTCTCACTGAATGGCAAGAAGCTACCTGTAAGTCTTTCTCAATGTAGATTCCTCTCTAGATCTCTCTTTCACCACATCTATCCATCCAATGATTTAGTGTTGTTGTTTTTTCCTGCTTAGCTGACTATATGTTTTCACAATCCAAGTAGTCTTTCATTTCCATTTGTGAGAGCAACAGATGTTTGATGATGTGCGCTCTATCTGTCCTCTCGTTCGTTCAAGGTGAACGGTTTCCGCAGCTATGTGGATATGTACGTAAAGGACAAACTGGATGAGACGGGTGTTCCCCTGAAGGTGATCAATGAAACTGTGAATGAACGCTGGGAGGTTTGCCTCACCATGAGCGAGAAGGGCTTCCAGCAGATCAGCTTTGTGAACAGTATCGCCACGACAAAGGTATGGATATGTCAGACGGAGAAGTGGAAAAGTTAAGAAAAGACGGATTAACGCTGAGATTGTGTGTTTCAGGGCGGCAGACACATTGACTATGTAGTGGAGCAAATTGTGGCGAAGCTTATTGAAGTGGTGAAGAAGAAGAACAAGGCTGGAGTATCAGTCAAACCTTTCCAGGTGGCTCCACAGAGTACTTTAGAGATTTAAGAACTTTGAAATTGTCTTCCCAATTATTTTAAAGGCATATCATTGGCAAGATTTGCCTTTAAAACAGTTAACCTCTGTTTTTATTTGGCTATCAGGTGAAGAACCATATCTGGGTTTTTGTGAATGCACTGATTGAGAATCCAACGTTTGACTCTCAGACCAAAGAGAACATGACTCTGCAGACCAAGAACTTTGGCTCCAAGTGTCTTCTGTCTGACAAATTCATTCGAGCTGTAAGGATCGTTTGACCTAGTTTCAGCTTCACAGGCTCCTGATTCATGTTTTAGAGCTTGAAACGCCTCGCCTTTGTCACCTACAGGCCACCAACTGTGGGATTGTGGAGAGTATACTGAACTGGGTGAAGTTCAAAGCTCAGACACAGCTGAACAAGAAGTGTTCATCTGTGAAGTACAGCAAGATCAAAGGCATCCCCAAACTGGATGACGCCAACGATGCAGGTGTGGTTTCTGGAACAATCTGCTGTTGTCTTTATCCGATCCAGCTGCCTGGCTTCAAGTCCCACATCTTTATTAACTCATATCGGTGTGTGTTGTTTGTAGGTGGCAAGCACTCCTCGGAATGCACTCTGATCCTCACAGAGGGAGACTCTGCCAAGTCCCTGGCCGTGTCCGGTCTAGGAGTCATCGGTCGGGACCGCTATGGAGTGTTCCCACTGAGAGGCAAGATCCTGAACGTTCGAGAAGCGACTCACAAACAGGTGGGGGCCCCAGAGGGGACGCCTGCAGAATAAAACCCAGAGTGAATCATGTTCAGTGACCAACAAGCTGGGAAAGGCCTGGTGAATTGTTTGATTAACAATGTCAAAATCATTGGGAAAGTATCAGTTTTAAAAAACATCCTAAAAAGGAAAATACAAAGAAGTTCAAGAGTAAATAAAATCATATGTTTTTACAGAAGGCGTCCAGCTGACCTGGAACAAAAAGAGACACCAAACTCAGAATGACGCCTAGGTTCACTGTGTGATATACAGCACATTGGATCATAATTGATAAATTGGGAATAACAACAAAGTCTGACCAAGGTTGTCCAAGAGCTGCTAGCATTAAAACAGTTGGGATTCCTCCTGGTGTTGGCCTGAGCTTCTTTTCTTTAACATAAATCAGGAATTGTAGAAGCTGATATTAATAAGTCAGAGATTTTTACTGTCAGGATTTCTTAGAATTTTGACAGTTTCAAGCCTTTTTCTGAATAGCAAGATAATGTACTTTTCTGACTGGCTATGTGATTCCTTATGACCTTTTTTAGCGGTTCAAGCCTATTTTGTGCTTCATGAACACCAATACTCTAACTAGCATCCATCCCATCAGTAAATTTCTCAGTGACCAGTTCTAGTATTTATATTGTTTCTGGACATGTAGTAAATAGTTAAGGTGATAATTTCTAACATTGTCTGCTGGTCCTTCTGGTAGTAGGGGGCGGTATCATTTATCATTTAATGTGAACAGCACTTAATTTCTTAATTAACAAATGAGTGTTAATTTGTTTGTTTCAAAAAAGTTTGCTTAATGTAAAAACAAAAACATATAGTTATCAGAAATATTATTTTTGCTATTTCTTCACTGCTTGTTCCATAAGAGCGTCAATAAACATCAATACAATTTAAACCAAGGTTAAGTGTAGCTTAATGAGATAAATCACATTTCTTTGAGTGGTGTCCTGAAGAAGCCTGTCTCAAATGAAAAGATTTCTTAATATTTTGGTGTTTGTGGCACTATGAATGCTGGTATGCAGTTACCTAAAACTGAAGTAATAAGTAGCTCTTCAAAATAGAACAACAACGAAACCATCTTGAGGCTTAAGTGTAAAAAAATTTGAATAGATGAAATTCTGGAATATTCTTTTTTCTGTTTACCAGATAATGGAAAACGCAGAGATAAACAACATCATTAAAATTGTTGGGCTGCAGTACAAGAAGAGCTACGATGACCCAGAGTCTCTAAGGACGCTTCGCTATGGCAGGATCATGATCATGACTGACCAGGTGACTTTCCTCTGGACCTTATTGCTGCTGCTGCTGGAAGGTTAATACCAGCTCTGCCAGTCATAACAACATGTTGTCTTCTGATAGGACCAAGATGGCTCTCACATCAAGGGTCTACTCATTAACTTCTTCCACCACAATTGGCCCTCCTTGCTGAAGCACACATTCCTGGAGCAGTTCATCACTCCTATAGTGAAAGTAAGATGTTTATGAATGTCATGATCTTCAGAGCACGTTAGCAGGGCATACAGGTGAATGAAGGCTTTCTGCTCTGCAGGCAACCAAAAACAAACAGGAGCTGGCCTTCTACAGCCTCCCAGAGTTTGAAGAGTGGAAGAAACAAACAGAAAATTTTAAAACCTGGCATATAAAGTACTACAAAGGTTTGTTACCTTTAACTCAATACCCAAGCAATAAATTTAGTTTGATAGCGTTTTAATTTCATGATCCAACCCATGTTTCAGGTTTGGGAACAAGTACAAGCAAAGAGGCAAAGGAATACTTTGCAGACATGGAGAGGCATCGAATCACCTTCAGATACAACGGTGCTGAGGACGACGCTGCCATCACCCTGGTAAGTTTAACCTAACTGTCTGCTGTATTGCTGCTGCTGTGCAAAGAATAACCATGCTGGTAAAATCTAGGGAGGCACTGACCCACTTTTCACTTCCAATACTGATACAGATATCTAAGGTCTAGAATTGGCCAATACAGAAAAACAACTGAATTGGCTTAAAACTTTACTCCTAATTCCATTGACTGAACAAATTAAAGTAGCTCTTTTTACATGTTTGACAAGCTTGCAAAGCTGCTGCTGGAGTTAAGTGTGCTGTTCTGCAGAGTTATCAAATCATTATGGAAGTCTGAATTAACTTTAAAAAATTAGCTTTTTTTTAAATACAGACATAAACATACTGATTTACAAATCTATTTAATAACTCAGCACCAGTACAGCACATATAAATCCACCAATAACTTCACAAGCTTGGTCAAACATGTAAAAACAGCAACTTTAGTTTGTTCAGTCAATATAATTGGTAGTATAATAGCCAATGGAAAAGGAATGACAAAGAAACAGAAATTGAATAAATTAAGAGGTTGACAACTTTGGTCAAACATGCAAAAATAAACTGCAACAAACCTTCATTCAAATGGTTCAGAAAATGCAATTAGAAAATGTAAATGTAATATGAAATAAATAATAAAGCATGACATTACCCAGAGCATAAAACGTAGAATTGGACTGAAAAGATCCACCCAAAACTATCACTTACACCCAAACTAGAATGTTTTTTACTATCTGGATTGATCCAGATATTGATATCAGATGGGTGCATCTCTAGTTAAAAATGTTGGTGAGAGCTACCTAACCCTATGGGCCCCTATGTCCAGGCCTTCAGTAAGAAGAAGACAGACGACAGAAAGGAGTGGCTGACCAACTTTATGGAGGACAGACGGCAGAGGAGGATGCACGGCCTGCCGGAGGTTGGCATTGTTATCCAGCTGCTATATGAGCTACACACACTCAGACACAGTATTAAAAAAAACTGGCTGTAACAATAATTCTCTTTTCCAGCAATACCTTTATGGAACTCAGGCCAAACATCTGTCGTACAATGACTTTATCAACAAGGAGCTGATTCTATTCTCCAACTCAGACAATGAGCGGTCCATCCCATCCCTGGTCGACGGTTTGTCAGCACTCTGCCTCTGAGCTTTAACGTGATGTTAGGATCATGTGTGATGATCTGGACGTGTGTGTTGTTTTAGGCTTGAAACCGGGTCAGAGGAAGGTTCTGTTCACTTGCTTGAAGAGGAATGACAAGAGAGAAGTGAAGGTGGCCCAGCTGGCTGGTTCTGTGGCTGAGATGTCTGCCTACCATCATGGAGAGGTAGAGGCAACTCATAGAATAAGCAAGGTTATGTTGTGAAGCATAACCCTGCTTCACAGCAAACTTCAGTGTTTTATATTGGGATTTTAAGGTATACCTATTAAGTAGAAAGATGGTGAGCAGAGTGGGAGATTTGTCTTCCATGTTTCTGATCCTGCATACTTCTACCTTACATCTTCTTTAACATTTTTTGTCCTTAAAGATAAGAGTTTTCACAACTCTTACCTTCAAAGGTAAGGTAAGAGTCGTGGGTCATTAATAAGTTGACTACTTTGGTCAACTGCATCTCTTGACCCTTCCTATTCACGGAAACATGAGCATGAGTCAGGAGCCTGTAGTCTGTAGCCTGTAGTCAGCTTCTACTTCCTGTCTGCCTTGCAGCAAGCTCTCATGATGACCATTGTGAACTTAGCCCAGAATTTTGTGGGCAGCAACAACGTGAACATCCTGCAGCCTCTGGGTCAGTTTGGTACTCGCATCAATGGAGGCAAAGACGCTGCCAGCCCCCGTTACATCTTCACCATGCTCAGGTAAGGCAGACACCTGTACTGTTATGAATTCATTACAGTAATTCTGATCTTTTTTATGTCCTATTTATTTCTTAAAAGATCCATCAAAATCTTGGTTGTGATTTATGATATAACAGACCATAAATATTCCATTACAGCAGAATGACTAACTGGAATGGAGGATTTATAAGTTACAGTGCTTCAGAAATTACGTCAGTAATATGTTCTGTCTGTACTAGATCTTAGAGGGTTGGATGTGTTGGTTTCACTGGAGTGAAATCAAAAGATATATCCATCTAATATTAAAATAATATTTCACAATAATATTGCCATTTCATGATTTCTTAATATGGAGCAGTCCTAGTATCTTTGTTTAGTCACAGCCTTTATACTGATTAAGTCACTGAAGCTGGCTAGATTCATTACATTAGCAATACTTTAGTCACTCAGTATTTTATCGAAATATACCATATTTTCCAGACTATAAGTTGCATTTTTTTCATAATTTGGCTGGGGGGCGACTTATACTCCGGAGTGACTTATGTGTGGTAATTATCACGTTATTTTCACACTAAACTGCAAGAGGGCGCTCTGGGCCTGTGTTATTTTACTTTCGGAGTTAACAGAGTTGTTTACAAGCGACACAGAGAACGAAGATTTATTGTTAGCATGTTATTTATGCTGTAGTTATCTGAATAACTCTGAATATGTTATGTTAACATACCAGCCAAGTTCTCAGTTCGTTGTTTGTCATGTAACATTAGCATACTGTACAACTGTTCATCCTGTATTTGCCTCTATTCTATTTTTATTTTAAATTGCCTTTCAAGATGACTTGTCTGTTCTTAGTGTTGGATTTTATCAAATAAATTTCCCTCAAAAATGAGACTTATACTCTGGTGCGACTTTTTCTTCTTTATTATGCATTTTATGGCTGGTCCGACTTATACTACGTAACGACTTATAGTCCGCAAAATACGGTACTATTACGGTACACATCCAGAAAGAGACTAGATATGTTCCTGCTCTTCCTTGTGTCCTAACCATTTGTTCTCCCTCCAGTCCCCTGGCCAAGCTGTTGTTCCCAGCGGTGGATTTCAATCTGCTCAAGTTCCTGTATGATGACAACCAGAAGGTGGAGCCAGAGTGGTACATTCCCATTATTCCCATGGTGCTGGTGAATGGAGCCGAGGGCATCGGGACAGGCTGGGCCTGCAAGATCCCCAACTACGACCCCAGAGAAATCGTTAACAACATCAACAGAATGCTCAACCACCAGGATCCTTTACCCATGGTAAAACTAAATAACACTGAAAGAAACCACTTTTATTCTTTTTTGTTTTTTTTTTAAGAGAAACCAGTGGACTTTGTCCAATGAAGTTCTTACTTTAAATGTCAGTAGTAATGTGGGAATTGTTTGTGTTTCTTGATTTCCTCATTTTAGGACCTGAAATCAGTTTTAATCGCTCCTCGGTTAGCCTGGACTCTTCAGACTCTGGTTTTCATTTAGTTTTAGTTTTTCCCCTGATCTCTAGTTGTTGTTTTTTTTTTTTTATGAAATCCACAAATTATTATTTGTGTATTTTATTTTTTGTTGCATAATTTTCTGAAGACATTTGTATTTTTTCTGAAACAAATGTAAGCAAAATGATCTGGAAAAAAACAGGTAACTACAGTGTATCTAGGTAACAGGCAACAAATTGCCAATATTTTTTCTTGATTGTTCTGTCAGGAAACATTGCTGCTAGGGTTGCACCAATCAATTGGCCTTCATTTTTAAAATTTTGTGTGATCAGTGTTCGACTGATTCTTAGATGTGAAGCTGATCTTATCTACTCTGCAGAGATCTGTTAATCAGCTCTGCTGTGAGAGTGGGCTGAGGAGTGACCCCCCACAAGGTTACGGTAAACAGTCATTCACTGTTATCAACTTACTGGCACTTCACACCCCTCTGACGCTGTCAGTTATGAAAACTATGGTTGTGGCCAAAATCAATATCAGCGGGTGAGACTTTTTAAAAATCAGTGCTCACCCAGAAAACTCTGTTTGGTGCAGCTCTAGAAAAAAGACAATTTCTTAATCAGCTGTTCCCAGACTAATATTTGTATGTGTGCTTGTTATGTTGTGAACCCAGCTTCCCAGTTACAAAAACTTCAAAGGGATGATCCATGAACTGGGCCACAATCAGTACCTGGTCAGTGGAGAAGTGTCTGTCATTGACAAAAACACCATTGAGATCACAGAGCTTCCTGTCAGGACCTGGACTCAGGTACAGCCAGATTTTCTTCAGCTCATGTTTCTAAACCAGGAAGTGATGGGTGGCTGCTGTGTGTTTAGTTGGTGGTGTGTGATTGATGTGTTCCTGCCAGTGACTGTGACCCGTTTGTGATGCGTTCAGGCCTATAAGGAGTCTGTGCTGGAGCCCATGCTGCAGGGAACTGACAAGACTCCAGCTCTCATCTCTGATTACAAGGAGTATCACACAGACTCCACAGTGAAGTTTGTAGTGCGCATGTCTGAGGAGAAGCTGGCCCAGGCACAGACCGTCGGCCTTCACAAGGTCTTCAAGCTGCAGTCCAGCCTCACCTGTAACTCTATGGTAACCAAAGGATCCCTGCCTTTCACAAGACAGTTTCCTGCTTTATGATTCAGATGTAAAATAATGCTCACGATGATGTTGGTACTTCCAGGTGCTGTTTGACCACATGGGTTGTCTAAAGAGGTATGATTCAGTCCAAGACATACTCAAAGAGTTCTTTGAGCTCCGTCTGCACTACTACAAACTGAGGAAGGACTGGTTACTAGGCAGCCTGGGGGCCGAGGCCTCCAAACTCTCCAACCAGGCTCGCTTTGTGCTGGAGAAAATCGAAGGAAAAATCTCCATTGGTGAGTTACGGACTGTTGACTCAGTTAGAGCTCAGCTTTCTGATAGGAGCTGATTCTATTTCTTTTCTTTTGTCAACAGAAAATAAATCCAAGCGTGAACTCATCCGAATGTTGGTGCAGAAAGGTTACGAGTCAGATCCTGTTGCTGCTTGGTCCAAAGCTCAAGAGAAGGTACAGCAGAGCTCTAGAGTGACTCGTTCCTCTAGAGAGGTAGTAAACCAGCTGTTGGATGAGATTAAAGCACCAGCTAATGGAATGCTGGACTTCTCTGATAGGCTCAGGAAGAAGACACTCCTGATGGGAATGAGAGTGACGGCTCAGTGGATTCCAGCTCTACTTCAGGTCCCAACTTCAACTATATTCTCAACATGCCTCTGTGGTGCCTGACCAAGGAGAAGGTTGACGAACTGCTCAAGCAGAGGGACCACAAGGTACTACTCCTTGTTTTCCTCTATCAGCTTATCTATTGTATGTTCCTTCATTGGATTAGTTATGACTTTATGGTTTTAATAGTCCTGCAGTTTTTATCTTAGTTTCAGACTTATTTAGTTTTGACATTTTTTTCAACTCAGTTTTCTTTTCAATAGCTCTTAACCATTTGTTTGCTAGTTTAGTTCAGATTTTACTTGTTTTGGTTATAGCTTTTTGCAATGTCAGTTACATACCAGGGGAAAGACATATAGATCCCTGGTTGTCTTAAAAGACTGAGCTTTTAAAACATGACAGCCTTAGAAGACTGTCATGTCTTAAAACCATCACAGCTTTTGAGACATGTTAATTTAGGACAAATGATCAACCATGTTGGTAACAAAAAAACATCCAGCAGAGGGTCTTTCAAAACTTCAGAAAACCCAACAACAGCAAAGCTCTAGTGAGTTTTTAAGGAGGACTTTATTAAAGGGGAAAATCCCACCAACCTTAAAGTCCCTTGATCTTGTTTTTATCTAAACATTTATATTCACACTCATCCCAAATTGGACTCTGACGCTTTCTCCTAACATCTGCTGTCATGACAGTTGGTGTGGATGGACCAACAGCAACATGGTTTACCTTTAATTATATACTGCCATCTGCTGGCACAATGTGGGACAGCAAGATAAAAAAAACGACAAGAAACTAGATTTGTTTCTGTTAGTAACAAATCTTTTGTCAGATCTATTTTGTTTCAAAGAGAAATCTTCATCTCTGTCTGCTTAGCTGATCAGAATTTCTGTGTGTTTGTGCAGAGAAGTGAACTGAATGATCTGCAGAGGAAAAACTCTGAGGATCTATGGAAGGAGGACTTGGCTGTTTTCATCGAAGAACTCGATGTAAGTTTTGTCCTCTAACTTTTTTTTCTAATTCTTAAACTCAAGCATTTAAATTCATGCCTTTGTTGATTTTTATTGTGTATCAGTAATCTGTTTTTAAGTTTCATTATTTCTGGTTTTTCTTTATCTGATTTAGCTTCTGACCAGCAGGGGGAGTACTGACTCAATAAGTTTCACATGCCATTTGGAAACTAAATAACACTGGTTTAGAGCCACAAGTGTCAGATAACCTTTTGTTTAAAGACAACTTAATTAATTGTAATAAATAACTACAATAGGAAATTTGTGCTCATTTTTCAAGAACTGCCATTTTATTTCTGCTTTTAAATACCTGTGGAATTTTTGTTTCTCGTGTTGATAAAGTTTTTATTTTCTGTTTGTCCCTGGGCAGAATGTTGAGAGCCAAGAGAGAGAGGAGCAGAATGCAGGGAAGGCCATCAAACTGGTGAAGGGCAAAGTGGGGAAGCCCAAAGTGAAGAAGATGAACTTGGAGGAGACGTTGCCATCCCCGTTTGGCCGCAGAGTGGACCCACCTACTCAGCCAATCAAGTCTGATGCTGCCAAGAAGCTGACCAAGAAGAAGAAGGTAACGACGCTGATGTTGTCTGTGGACATGCAGACGTAAAAAACATCTGCCATCCAGAACGGTCACAGACTGTTTTGTTGCCAGGGCGACTCGGATACAGCTGTGAAGTTGGAGTTTGATGATGACGGTGACGGAGGAACTGGAGAGAACGCTGTAGCCAAACCCAAAACTCCACGAGTCAAGAAGGAGAAGAAGGAGCCAGGTCAGTACCAGAGTGCCACATGGTGAAGAAAGCCCCTTCTGAAGGAAAAGCTCTGACTCTCCTTCCTGTTTCCTGTTGCTCAGGAGCTCCCAGAGTGAGGAAGCCTCCAACTCCCAAAGGAGCTTCAGCTAAGAAGGTGAAGAAGAGAAACCCCTGGTCTGATGATGAGTCCAAGTCAGACAGTGACTTGGAGGACAACGAACCTGTCATTCCCAGAGAGACCAAGTCTCAGAGGGCCACAGGTAAACAGCAGCAGGCTGCAGGAACAGGCTAAACACACCACAGAGAGCTGCACCTGAACATAACACCTGGTCTTATTCACTGTTTCCCTTCCTTCTCAAAATGAAATGGAACTGAAAGAACTATTGCATAAAATTTCAATAAAACAACAGTATCAGTAGCCAGTTAGCTTAAATGAGCAATAATTGGAATTACAAAAATACATTAATTCAATAAAAACAGCAATTTTGAAAATGGTTCTTGAATATGTTGATATTTCCTATTAATATGTCTCTTCTTAGTCTTTGCATCCGTTGCAGCCATAATTTTCTGTGTAAACACACTCATTCACTTTATTTTATTTCTTTTTAATTGAAACACCGCAATTGTAAAATCGTGTTTTCAATATTAGCAGAATATTGAAAATGTGTTCAGAATTGCAAAATATGTTTCTGCGAACAGGAAATTGGTACATTCAAGAAACATATAAACAAATGTCCTTTTATTGTTCCCTAACAGCAAATTTGTTATTTGTTTAAAAGCTACTCACATCCATAATCCATAACGGCTAGTAATAAAAAAGTGATAACACAAGTGTGAAATTACAAGTAATTTAAATATGATCTAAATATAAAATAAATTATAATTTTGGAACATCATGCTGCCAAGAAGATTACCTGTTTTCCCCCCCATTTCTAACAGATTGTCCACTTCATGTGACAGCTGCACGTTCACATGGTGTGTTTTAGCAAAGCTGCCTCCGCCTGTGTATTCTGTCATAGTAACGCATGAGAGGTCCTATGTTGCACCTCCAGTCAACATTGGCCGACTTTGTTATCATGACTGGTAGCGTTTGATCTTAATTCCCAGTGAGACGTAAAAAACCTTTCAAACTCCCACCGGTCAAAAAAGAACCCATTAGCTCTTGTCAGCTCCAGCTGTCTGATGCAATCCAAATGCAACTGAAATAAAATGAGCACAACCACTGGAATCCATGGCAATCGTAATATGCTTTGACATGGACTTTGCTTTCATCTTCCAGCTTCCAAGCCAAAATACACATTTGACTTCTCCGAGGAGGAAGAGGCAGATGAGGAGGAGAACGGAGACGACGACGTGGCCTCGTCCCCAGTGAGGTCAGTCAGAGACGACTTCAGCTTCTCAGACATCAAGGACCACGACAGTGACCAAAACGAAGACGAAGAGGAGAAGAACAACGAAGACTCCTTTTCTTCACCCATAAAGAAGCCCATGTAAGATTTAGAAGTCAGTTGCTGATGGATGACTCTTTCCTGTTCTGCTAAATCCTGCCAGCTAACTGTTTCTCCTCCTGTGAAGGCCTGCACCTGCAGCCAAGAAGAAGGAGAAACCCAGCATCCTCTCCTCCAAGTCAGCCTTCTCTGATAAGAGCAATGACAGTGGTTAGTTCCAGCCAATGAGCAGCCTGTCAGTCAATTGTGTACATTTAAATACAAAAACAAGAAGGATGAGGTGGTTTGTCAGCCATATCGAAACAGAAATGCAGTGGTCACACTTTATTCACTTCACACAAGTCACATGATCAAGAGCTGGATGTTGCTACTGGTGGAAACAACAAAGACGATGACAGGAAGTAGTATTAGGATGATGGTTTGTTTGTGTGTTTGTACAATGTGCAGTTGGCACCATCAGAGCTCTTACAGCATAAAAGTTAATAAAAAGTTGTGTGTCTTTTCTACCTGTTGAATCCATAATTCTTCTATAAAATCATCAACTACTATTTTCCCAAAATGCTGCAAATGTAGCCGCTCTCTAGCAGGCGAGGCTTACTGCCTGAAAACCCATCGGTTCTCCTCTGATTGGCTGATAGAAGATGAGTGCTAGTACCGTGGCTGAATTATGAATATATCTCAGATAACTGTTTACATCTGATGTAAACACAACAAATGCAAACCATCTTTGCAGAATATAGACAAAGATTTGTGCACATTTGAGATGGAAGCGCAGCTACTGCTGCATGTTTGCTGACGTGTTGGACCCTGTTTGTTTTGCAGACGGCTCCAGGTCGGACAGCGACAATGACACCGGCCCAAAGTTCTCCACCTACTCCAACAGCTCAGCGTTTGACAAAGCTTCGTCAGCAAAGAAAGGTAACGTCTCAAAAGCATCCAGCAGAGGGCGCTGTACCATTGTGTGACGTTTTATTTTTGTGTTCAGCTACAACTAAGAAGCCCTCTGATGCTCCCAAAGCTAAAAAAACAGCAGCACCTAAAGCAAAGAAACCAGATAAATCCATCTGGGACTCTGATTCTGATACTGGAGACACCAGCACCAAGAAGCCAGCACCAGCTCTCAAAGGTATCGGGTTTTTACGTTAATATGGGCTGAAAACGTCATGTTGCTGATGGTGAAGTTTGGTCACCATCTGGTACGATTGCAGGTAAAGTTCGGGGGAAGAAGAGAAAGGGCTCTGGGTCTGAAGACGAGTACAGTCCGATGAAAAAAGCTCCAAAACCTGTGGGCAAAGTGAGTTTATGACATCACATGGTTGATCTTTAGATGTTGCTTCAGTATTTTTGTGTCATGTTCTTTCTTCATGATGCGCCTGGTTTGTTCCTCCTGCAGCAGAACAGGAAAGCTCTCTGGTCTGTTCCTCTACATGTAACCATGGTAATCATTAGGGTGTAACCACATCTACAACTCCAACAAACTGATGTCTTTCTGTGCTTACTTAGTGTCTGTCACTTCATTGCTATTGGTTCCCACTGGAATTCCAAAAATGCTGCAAACAAACTTGGACCCAAGTTTTCTGCCCATAGAGAGCAGAAACGTTGTGATGTATTCACATCACCATATCTGGGTCCACTCCTTGTAATTATGGAGAGTTTTGGAAGTGGTGCCCTAAACTAAATCTAGATATTCTGAATTAATCTATCAGAACCTTCTAAAGCCATAACATCATTATGACTATCAAATAGTGTGAAGTCGTAAGTTTTAGTTCATATAGACTTACGACTTTGAAGAATCTAAAAACGTCTGTTTAAAAATTCTGTCATCAGCTGACAGTCCGATTCAGTGTTGGCCAGTAAAATATTGATTATATGTAAATATCTACTTTCAACTGTAAAATCACAAACAAGATGATCTCCACAGCAACTGAACAGCTTTTTTTGTTATTATTAGTTTATAGCAGTGTACAGTCAGAATGTGATAAACAAAAGGAAAGACTGGATTCTAATTGAACACATCAGATCATGGTCCTGATTAGAAAAAAATAACTTAAAAATATTGCATAATTCAGGTTTAAAACAAAGTTTGGACATGGCCAACAATGCAAAGCTTTACATCCCAGACATAATAACCCACAGATGGACATATCATCTTTAAGATGCTCAAGTTTCTTCAATTTGGCACTTCTTTAAAAATGCAAGAGAAGATTTCCAAATCTGTTTAAATGTAACAGATTGTTTCTTTATTGCATTTGTCAGTGCATTTATTTATTTCAGCTTCTAAAGGACAAGACAACCTTCTCTGTCTTGTCCTCTAGACAAGACAGAGAAGAGAAGAGCTCGTTGTTCTGCAGTTTTTTTTTTTTTTTAAAGTCCCAATGTTTTTCTGTGCAGAAGCCCCAGAAACCTCCATCCGACGAGGAGGATGAAGACGACGATGACGACAACAGCCTGAGCACTGCAAAGGGCCCGTCCCGCGAGCGGCCGGGCCGGGCCAGGAAGGAGGTCAAGTACTACCATGACTCTGAAAACGAGGAAGACGACGATGACATGTTTGATTAAAGTCCATCCCGATCCACCCTGCTTGTTTGGAAGGTTCCTCCTCCTGTGTTCCCTCAGACTTTTGTACATTTTCTGTTTTATTTTTTCATTAATGGTGGCGTTAAATGATTTTTAATGTGTAGGTGTTTTACACTTTTTATTAATATACATATACAGCTTTGTTTTTTTACGCTCATTGAAATGTTCCGTATTCGTCTGAAGCAGCTTTTAGGGGTTTAGAGCGCTGTTCTTTAGCACATTTTAACTGTTAAGATACTATGTAACTTTTTGAACATGAAATTGAAAGTAAAGAATAAAATGTTCACAGTTCTGGTCTGTCTCTTCTCTAACGTTTGTCTGTGGTAAACAACACTGAACAGGAAGTGGACAGGACTAAGATAGTAGGGCTATTGCCTCCTGGTGGTCATAAGGTATACACTCATTTTCTTGTTGGCTGATCTATTTTTCAACTGACCTAATTGTGTTGATGCCTATTGGCAGTTTCAACATTATGATCATGATTGTTCAGCTCAACCCTTCACTAAAATGTTAATGTTGACTTAAAGACATGACAGGTGAGATACTGGCAGTTGCATCTTCTTCCTTCCAATCAGTTTTTTCTTAGCCCCATTCGATGGAAATGAAAATAATGCAGACCACCATACAATCATTTCTCTTAAGAGAAATGATCCTGGATTACTTTTTTTTTTTTTAAATATCCGACAAGTGTGGCGTGCATTTGTATGCAGTAGTGGTAGATGGAACAATCCAAAAATATTGGTACCGTAATATCGATCACAAGATGATCTGTCTTAAATATTGATATTTGTTTAATTATGGTTTCTCAATTCTGATAAAGAAAAAAAAACATTTTTGATTTGCTCACAGGTTAGTTTTTTCACTTCATCCACTTAGGAAAAAAATACACAATTTTTTTTCTATTTTCTGTTTAATAAGTTAACATGTTGACATAAAATTCAGTCCTAGGTTTTTACAAAAACTAAGGAAAAAACAAAAAAAGGTGAGACGTTTGACATATCAAACCTAAATAATATTGATACTGGTATCTGAAGACAGAAGATCTGTTTTCAAGTTTTGCCACAAATTCCCAGTTGGGTTTAGATCTGCACTTTGACTAGACCTTTCCAACATATGGATATATTCTGAGCCAGACCATCTGGCTGGGTGTATGTGGTCATCCTGCTAGATGGTGAATCTCCACCCAGTTTTAAGTATTCTTCAGATTTTCTTCTAGGACTGTCTGTATTGGTGCATTTTTTACTTACTTCACTGAGATAAAGCTCTTTTCGGCTTACAAAGTTTTATGTTGAAGAAACACTGGAATTTTTTCAAACCGCAAAAATATACTGCTTTTCAGTACTTCTATGCAGTTTTAAAGATTATAAAGCTGAACTTTCAAGATTTTGCTGAAAATAACACATTGATGCATTTTTGACTTATAACCACAAATACTGCTGTTTCTCAGCATTCTGTTTCAAAGATTATTAAGCTGAAAGTTGAATGTTTTGCTGAAAAATTCACTTTTGTGCATTTTTTCACTTCTCTCACTGAGATGAAGTGTTTTTGGTCTCTGAGAGTAATATTTTTACTAAACAGACTTTGTTTATGGTTCCAACCGCAGAAACTAATGCTTCTCAGCATTTCTATGCTGTTTCAAAGATTATAAAGCTGAATATTTTGTTGAAAAATGCACATTTGTGCAATTTTCACTTCTCTCACTGAGATAAAGTGTTTTTGGTCTCTTACATTAATTTTTTTTATTTCAGCTGTATACTCTTTGAAACAGCATAAAAATGCTGAAAAGGTTTAGTTTTGTTGGTTTGAGATATGAACAAAGTCTAATTCCTGTGTTTGATTAAAAAAACTGTCAAATACCAAAATCGCTTCAAGTGAAAAATGCACAAATGTGAATTTTTCAGCAAAATATTCAACTTTCCGCTGTATAGTCTTTGACACAGCACAGAAACCATGAGACATTTGGGTGGATTAATATGGGACATGTGGGAGAAATTAATATGGGACAAATGGATGGTTTTAACATGGGGAAATATGGTAGCACTTAATATGGGACATATGGGTGGATTTAAACTGGGGACAAATGGGTAGATTTAACATTGGAACATGTGGGTGGATTACCATGGCGACATCCTAGGGGATTTAATATGGGACACATGGGAGGATTTGACATGGGATAAATGGGTGAATTTATCCCATGTTAATGTGATAAATTCCCACTTTATATGGGAAATATGGGTAGATTTAACATGGGGACATAACCAGCAAATCAGCTCTGCGGACTCTCTGCCTCTTAATCCTCCAAGATGGGTTTTTATTTCTGATAAAGGTCCCTATGATTCTCTAAAGATTGGTTAGAAACCAAAACACAAGAAAATACCTTCCTTATTAGGACTTTAACTAGAACTCTAACCTAAAAATAAGTGGTTCCCTTTATTCCTCTCTGGGAGTTTAACCCAGTCTGGGACTTAAATCCAAACAATTGGGGGAACTATAGCCCACCCTCTTTTTCAATTATTTTTATTTTTTTAAGTTGTTACGACCCGTGTAGGGGTCCAGGTCATAACATGACACAAACTTGAACATTTTATAACGTTATTTATTGTAAAAAGATGTTTTTTTTTTTTGGGACTGAAATGTTACAGCCAGGGGAGCATATGTCTTCAGAGTGAGCTAATGCCGAAAACAACAAACAAAAGGAACTATCCAAATATTAACCAACTTACCTAATTGAAAATAAAGAAACCAAATAACAAAAACTTACCTCCCTAATTAAGAAAACAGGAGAAAACTAATGAAACATAACTGGCAGCTCACTCCTACAAAATGCAGGACTTTACATGATTTTACAAACAAACAAACAGAGAGTGCGGCTGAGGATGGATGCCAGGAAGTGCGTGCCTTCAGCTTTTATATCCATCACTTCCGGGAGGCCACCAATGGGACATCTTCGTTGTCTTCTGGGAACTAATCGGAGATGGACACCTGCACACTCATATTTGGATAATTACGACGCCAGTCGTAACAAAGTTTTATTTCATATGGAGCCGACCAATAGCCTTCTTCTCTCTCAAATCCTAATCGAGGTTTGAGGCTGGAGTCAAATCTAGGTTGGTACCAAAACACTGTTCGTCAACGTCCTCAGATGTCCAATCGAGGGATCTTAGTCACGGCACCAAATTGTTGTGGAAAAAACTATTTCACCAAGCACTGTCAGGTGAGATCACTCAATCAGGTTTATTCATTTATTGTGCATAATACAGCTTTAGGACAATCGATAATGACCCAGGTCTGGATGAAAAGCTCTGTAAGGCAGAGACAACACATGAGTTTCATACCAAGGATAAGGAATTCAAAACAAGGGGCAACACAGTCTGGTTCTGACACAGTTCTGACAGTCAGAACAATCAGACTGTTCAGTGAGACATGTTGGGTTACATGTACAACTCCCAGCCTTATACATGTAACCCAAATAGTTCTTTTGCTGATAGTTCACAAGCATTTCATATAACATGATCAGAAGATGTTAAATTATAGTAATTTTCCATGACACAAAGTAGGCTAACTATGCCATCACTGCCCATCGGATTGTTTACCGCAGTCCCCATGTCTTGTGCCCCACCCAGCTGACACAAACATGTCACAGGTTATGACGCAAATCTTTGTTGATGGAAATGTTTAAATTTACTATTTATTCAACACATTTTTATGCATTGGAGATTAAGAATGATTGTGTCATGTTTCTCCTCCTATAGAAACCATATTAAAACAAAAATATTTTTCTCACCCCCATCTTTTTCAATTTTTAAACATTTTTGAAAAAGCTCCCAGTAGCCATTAGGGCTCCAAGGAGCCAAGAGCCGCAGGTTGTTGACCTCTGGTTTAAACGAAGGTAAATAACGTAAATAAGACAAATAAAGTGAAGAGTGCTGAGGAGCGATTAGAGTTGCTCCCGTTACCTACAGCGCATTCCAGAAGAATGAAATGGCCACTGTTTAACCTGAGTTCAACAAACACTGTTTTCCTCATCTTGATGAGGGAAACACTGTCAAGCAGAATGAATGGGAAATCGGGTGATGGTATTTTGCTCATTGTAAAGCCTGTATCAATTACAGCCACATTGGCTGAAGCTAGTCTAAATTGTTTAAAAAAGTTTCATTTGTCTTAATATGAATGAATTTATTTGTTGCTTTGAAACATGTTTACTAGAAAGTGTGAATCATTTCAGAGCTTTTCCTGGTTACCATAGCAATAACAACTAATGTTAAACTTCTGATGATGTCACTGAGATCAAATGGTTTGTGTCATACATTCTATGATCAGCTATCAAAAACTTCAGGTTTTTATACCTTGCTACTTGTGTTCTAGAACCAGAGCTGTATTTATTTCCACCGTGAGAGAGAAACAGAAGATGGCTTCCAGTCGATTACCCAGGAGGCTTATCCCTTTGCTAAGGAGAAAGAAAACACCACCATCAGAAGATCTGAACAGCTGTTTGGAAAATCAAGAACAAACAAGTTTTGTGGTCAGCAGTCCACAAAATTTCAACCCTCGTACCAATAATTCAGACAGTGGTACTCTCGAGAACAAAAGATATCCCGAAAAAGGTGAAAAGATACCAGGTACAAGTGAAACAGGTGCTGAAGTACCTCAGAGTGTCAGTAAGGGGAGCCATTGTAGCACATACAGATTGTATGAGAAATGTAAAAATGTTTTGCAAGACAAACTAGAGGCTATGAGGAGGAAAAAAGCTGCCAACAAAGCTCTATTGAAGGAAAAGCAACACGAAGAAATGGAAGAGCAGGAGTTTTGCCCAAAAGTTACTTTTGTACAAGACGTACAAGACAGACAGGAGAGGGAAAAGAGAGCTGTAATACAAAAATCTAATGCATGGGATGCCCAAATTGAAAGTAAAAAACAGAAGAAGAGGGGAATGAAGGAAACAAAAATACAGGAAGCAAAAACACGGTGTCCAATTAAGAGACAAAGACCTCTTAACTTGTCCACAGTTAAATCCAAGGAGGTCTCAGGAAAAAACAAATATGATAAACAGTTTAAAAGGCCTTTGTCATGTAAAAAAGAAGAGAAACTCGTCATACAGGTTGCTCAAAATGCAGAGGACCAAGTCGTAATGCAATGGCAAAAATATAAGAGTGTTAGTGAAGGCATTCAGTCAGAATATGTACATCATGAGAGGGAGAAAAAGTTTTCTGAAACTGAAAATCTTCTTACATTTCAAGAGAAATGTAAGAAGATGGCCTTTGACAATCTGGAGGACATAAAGAGAAAAGAAGTTGCCAAAGACGCTTTAGAGGAGGAGAAGTTTTATAAAGAAATGGCCAAGCGGGAATTTGCCCAAAAGTTACTTGACAAACAGAAGAAGGAAAAGAAAGTTGAAATGCAAAAGTCTTTGACTAATGCGTGGGATAGTCAAGTTGAATATAAAAGGCAGAAGAAGATGGAAATGGACCAGATTGAAAGGCAACAAATGGCTGCCATAATGGAAGCAGACAGGTTGTGTCCAATTGAGGAAATTGGACACAACCAGGAGAAAGACCAGAAATTCTTCAAACAGGGTGTAACTGAGCAAAATACCGACAACCAAGTCACAATGCAGTGGGAGATGTATCAGAGTGTTACTGAGCCAAAGGAAGATGTTCAATCTGAATCTGAGTGTATAAATCACATGAGTCAGATGAGGCTTCCTGAAAAGTTTAGTTCTCTAGAGGATTGTAAGAAGGTTGTACATGACAATCTGGAGGATCTAAAAAGGAAAGAAGCTGCCAACTACTTTCTTTTGGAGGAAAAGCGATGTAAAGATAGGGCTCACCAGCAGGTAAGCCAAAAGTTACGAGAGGAACAAGAGAGGGAAAAGAAAGTCAATTTGAAAAAGTCTTTGACTGACACATGGGATGCCCAAATTCAATGTAAACAACAGGAGAAGAAGGAAATAGCTGAAATTGAAAAGAAACAAATGGCTGCCATAATGGAGTCAGATAGACTGCATCAAATTGATGCATCATTCATATATCAATATAACCAGCAAAAGAAGAGGGAAATGGATAGGCCTGAAAGGCAAGGGGTGTTTCCCGGATCAGACAAGTTACAGGACGAGACTAACAAGAATATGGACAACCCAGACGTAATGCAGTGGGAAATGTATCACAGTGTTACTGAGGAAGGAAGAGATCTTTGGTATGAATCAGGCTTTCTGGACTTTGAGAGTGACTGCGACATTCCTGATAAGGACAGAAGTCGTGAAATACGTAAAAAAATTGTATATGATCAACTGTCACTTATAAAGAAGAAAGAAGCTACCCAGAGGGCTTTTATGGAGGATAAGTTGTTGAAAGAAATGAAACAGCGGAAATTTGTAGAGCAAATGCGTGAAAAACTGGAGAAAGAGAAAAAAGCTGCAGGTATCAAATCTCTGACTGATTCTTGGGATTCCCAGATAAAACGTAAACAGCAAGAGAAAAGGGAACTTCGTGAGATTGAAAGGAAAGAGATGCTTTCCTTAATTGAATTGGAAAGAGTCTGTGAAAGTCAAAAGAATAAAAGAACCCAGCTTCACAAACACAAAACGGCTGTTTATCACAAAGTTCAGGAGACTCTAGCAGAAACAAGACCAGGGAGAAGTTGCTCCAAGTCATACGTGGGAAGAACAGTGTATTTTGCTGACAAACATGATGGCAAAAAAAACAGCAATGTTTGTAGTCCTTTACTGAGTCGTCAGAAAGTTAGAAATACTAAGCCTGTCAGACTTCCCTCATTAAACTCCAACTCTGTGCACCTTCCTGAGATTGTTGAATGAGTGTGACATTAATGCAGATCTGAAGAGAAGACAACTCCCATCCATTCACAGTCCCAAATGAATTACTATGTTTCTCAGCTGGCCAAGGAATGACATAGGATTCCTCCGGAGTAGCTAGCCCAAGTGGCTGAGCAGAGGGACGTTTGGGTCTTCCAACTTGACGCCCCGCAACCCTATAAGCAGAAGAAAATGCATGGACGGACAGACAGACTTTTCACTACCTTTCTCCCTCCCAACACCCATCTGTGGTTTGGTCAGTGCATTTTTCTCATTTCTATGCAGTATTGGATGCAGAAGCTCTTCAAACCACTTTATCTTCTACCTGTCAGTGAAAACAGCAACTTTCAGTTTGCTCAATTAGTACGTCTAAGTAATCTCACTTTAACAATAAGTTTTCTCAGGGTGTTCCAGAGTCCCTAAAACAACGTGAGGAAGCTCTGTAGATAAATAGGTAGCTAGATATTGCTCTATATTTTTTTTTTTATTAAAGTTCTCTCCGGGTGCTCCGGTGTCTCAACAAACATGGCGGATGGATGGATGAACAGACGAACGGATGGATGTTAAGGATACAGTTTTCTCTATCTATTTACCTACATACACAGGTATGTAGATAAGTATTGACTGTAATTTACTCTTTTCATAAGATGAACTAATTCTGCTATGTTATATATATATATATATATATATATATATATATATATATATATATATATATATATATGTGTGTGTGTGTGTGTGTGTGTGTGTGTGTGTGTGTGTGTGTGTATATATATATATATATATATATATATATATATAATAGCAGAATTAGTTCATCTTATGAAAAGAGTAAATTACAGTCAATACTTATCTACATACCTGTGTATGTAGGTAAATAGATTTCAATATTACTGTGTCCATAAATTATTGGTTATATCAAACTGAAATAGTGAACTGAACAAACTGAACAATACTGGAAAGGCATATGGGAAAGGGAGGCGTCCCACAACAGCAATGCACAGTGGCTGATCTCTCTACGAGAGGACCACAGCAACCTCCCTGAGCAAGCCCCGGTAACCATCACTGTGACAGATGTTCAAGAAAGAGTCTCAGGCATGAAAAACTGGACAGCACCAGGGCCTGACATGATCCATGCCTACTGGCTAAAGAAACTCACTGCTCTCCATGAGCGACTGGCAGCCCAAATGAACCAGCTGCTACAGAGGATAAGAACCACCCGCGGTGGGTGAGAAGGGAATTTTTTTTTTCCCTTCTCACCCACCGCGGGTGGTTCTTATCCTCTGAGCTCGGGTCCTCTACCAGAGGCCTGGGAGCTTGAGGGTCCTGCAGTATCTTGGCTGTGCCAAGGACTGCACATTTCTGGACTGAGATGTCTGATGTTGTTCCTGGGATCTGTTGTAGCCACTGCTCCAGTTTGGGGGTTACTGCCCCGAGGGCCCCGATGACCACAGGCACCACTGTGGTCTTCACCTTCCAGGCCCTCTCCAGTTCCTCCCTGAGGCCCTGGTATTTCTCCAGTTTCTCGTGCTCCTTTTTCCTAATGTTGCAATCACTTGGTATTGCTACATCTACCACAACGGCTTCCTCTGATGTTTATCCACTACAACAATGTCTGGTTGGTTCGCCATTACCATTTTATCTGTCTGGATCTGGAAGTCCCACAGGATCTTAGCTCTGGCGTTCTCCACCACCTTTGGGGGTGTTTCCCACTTTGATCTCGGGGTTTCCAGTCCATATTCTGCACAGATGTTTCTGTACACTATGCCTGCCACTTGGTTATGTCGCTCCATGTACGCTTTCCCTGCCAGTATCTTGCACCCTGCTGTTATGTGCTGGACTGTCTCAGGGGCCTCCTTGCACAACCTACACCTTGGGTCTTGTCTGGTGTGGTAGATCTGGGCCTCTATTGCTCTGGTGTTTAGGGCCTGTTCCTGGGCGGCCAGGATGAGGGCCTCTGTGCTGTCCTTGAGTCCAGCTTTTTCCAACCATTGATAGGATTTACTGATATCAGCCACTTGGGTTATTTGCTGGTGGTACATCCCATGTAGGGGCTTGTCCTCCCATGATGGTATCTCTGGCACCTCAACCTCCGTTCCCTTTTGTCTGAGACATTCACTGAGCACATTGTCTGTTGAGGCTTTGTCCCTGATGTATTTATGGATCTTAGTTGTTTCGTCCTGGACAGTGGTTCTCACACTCACTAGTCCTCTGCCTCCGTCCTTGCGGCTCGTGTACAGTCTCATGGTGCTGAAACCCTCCATGCATTTAGTAGTTTTTTAGTCTTAATATCTGTGGCTTTTATCTCCTCCTTGGCCAGCTAATTATTCCAGCAGGGTATCTGATTACTGGCAGGGCATAGCTGTTTATCGCACGAATTTTGTTCTTGCCATTGAGATGGCTTCTCAGGACTTGCCTTATTCGTTGGAGGTATTTAGCTGTGGCTCCTTTCCTTGTGGCCTCACCGAGGTTGCCATTTGCTTGTGGTATACCTAGGTACTTGTAACTGTCCTCTATGTCTGCTATTGTTCCTTGTGGGAGTGAGACTCCTTCTGGATCACCTTCCCCCTTTTGTGATCAGCCGACCACACTTCTCTAGTCCGAATGACATCCCAATGTCCATGCTGTAGATCCTGGTGGTGTGGATCAGTGAGTCGATGTCTCGCTCACTCTTGGCATACAGCTTGATGTCATCCATGTATAGAAGGTGACTGATGTTGGCTCCATTTTTGAGTCGGTATTCTTAGCCAGTCTTGTTGATAATTTGGCTGAGGGGGTTCAGGCCTATGCAGAACAGTAGCGGGGACAGAGCATCTCCTTGGTATATGCCACATTTGATGGACACTTGTGCAAGTGGTTTGCAGTTGGCTTCAAGGGTGGTTTTCCACAGCCTCATCAAGTTTGCAATGAAGGCTCTCAGAATCCTGTTGATGTTATACATGTCTAGGCATTCAATGATCCAAGTATGCGGCACTGAGTCATAGGCTTTCTTGTAATCAATCCAAGCCATGCACAGGTTGGTGTGTCGGGTTTTGCAGTCTCGGGCAACTGTGCGGTCTACGAGGAGTTGGTGTTTGGCTCCTCTAGTATTTACACCGATACCCTTCTGTGCCGTGCTCATGTGTTTATCCATGTGTTTGCTTATCTTGGTCGTGCCTGGTCATGCCTGACATGAGCTTCCAGGTTGTGGAGAGGCAGGTTATTGGTCAGTAGTTGGGTGGGACTGGACCCTTTGATGTATCCTTCTGGATTAGGATTGTCCGCCCTTCAGTTAACCATTCAGGGTGAGTCCCACTTTGTAGCAGCTGGCTCATTTGGGCTGCCAGTCACTCATGGAGGGCAGTGAGTTTCATTAGCCAGTAGGCATGGATCATGTCAGGCCCTGGTGCTGTCCAGTTTTTCATACCTGAGACTCTTTCTTGAACATCTGCCACAGTGATGGTTATCGGGGCTTGCTCAGGGAGGTTGCTGTGTTCCTCTCGTAGAGAGATCAGCCACTGTGCATTGCTGTTGTGGGACGCCTCCCTTTCCCATATGCCTTTCCAGTATTGTTCAGTTTGTTCAGTTCACTATTTCAGTTTGATATAACCAATAATTTATGGACACAGTAATATTGAAATGAGGTTTATTGGACTAAAAGAAAATGTGCAGTACACATAAACACAAAATTTGACAGGTGCAAAAATATGGGCACCTCAACAGAAAAGTGACATTAATATTTAGTAGATCCTCCGTTTGCAACAATAACAGCCACTAGTCGCTTCCGGTAGCTTCTAATGAGTTGCTGGATCCTGGATGAAGGTATTTTTGACCATTCTCATTTGCAAAACAATTCCAGTTCAGTTAAGTTTGATGGTCGCCGAGCATGGACAGCCCGCTTCAAATCATCCCACAGATGTTCAATAATATTCAGGTCTGGGGATTGGGATGGCCATTCCAGAACATTGTAATTGTTCCTCTGCATGAATGCCTGAGTAGATTTGGAGCGGTGTTTGGATCATTGTCTTGCTGAAATATCCATCCCCGGCGTAGCTTCAACTTCGTAACATTAGTCTCAAGAATCTGTTAATATTGAGTGGAATCCATGCGACCCTCAACTTTAACAATATTCCCAGTACCAGCATTGGCCACACTGCCCCAAAGCATGATGGAACCACTACCAAATTTCACAGTGGGTAGCAAGTGTTTTCCTTGGAACGCTGTGTTTTTTTGCCGCCATGCATAACGCCTTTTTTATGACCAAACAACTCAATCTTTGTTTCATCAGTCCACAGGACCTTATTCCAAAATGAAGCTGGCTTGTCCAAATGTGCATTTGCAGACCTCAAGCGACTCTGTTTGTCGCGTGCTTGCAGAAAAGGCTTCTGTCGCATCACTCTCCCATACAGCTTCTCCTTGTGCAAAGTGCGCTGAATTGTTGAACGATGCACAGTGACACCATCTGCAGCAAGATGATGCTGCAGGTCTTTGGAGGTGGTCTGTGGGTTGTCCTTCACAGTTCTCACCATTCTTCTTCTCTGCCTCTCTGATATATTTCTTGGCCTGCCACTTCTGGGTTTAACATGAACTGTCCCTGTGGTCTTCCATTTCCTTACTATGTTCCTCACAGTGGAAACTGACAGTTTAAATCTCTGAGATAACTTTTTGTATCCTTCCCCTAAACAACTATGTTGAACAATCTTTGTTTTCAGATCATTTGAGAGTTGTTTTGATGTGCCCATGATGCCACTCTTCATAGGAGATCCAGACTGGAGAACAACTTGGAATCGACCACCTTAAATACCTTTTGTCATGATTAGATACACCTGATTATGAAGTTCAAAGCTTAATGATGCTGCCAAACCAATTTTGTGTTTCAGTAAGTCAGTGAAAAGTAGTTAGGAGTATTCAAATCAATTAAATGATAAGGGTACCCAAATTTTTGCACCTGTCAAATTTTGTTTTAATGCATATTGCCCATTTTCTATTAGTACAATAAACCTTATTTCAGTACTGAAATATAACTGTGTACATCAGTTATTAGATATATCAAACTGAGCTGTTGCAAACACCCAAATATTTATAAATAAAAATCATTAAGATTATTAGGGGTGCCCTAACGTTTTCATATGACTGTATGTATATAGTACATTAAGAGTTCATATAAAGTTGAATTGAAGTTAACTTCCAATTGTAGCTTCCTATTCACAAAATAGCTGAACTATATTGAGCTTCTTTAATCTGTTGTATTACAATACCAAAACAGTTCAAACCTGACTAATTATTCTGCACTATTAACAGAATCAATAAAACATTTGTGAAACATTGTCATTGATTTGTGAAATTTCAATAATGAGAGGCTTCAGAACTTTTCCTAACAAATTTGCATAATTTTTTTGTCATTGTAACTTTCTATTTGCTCTTTTTCTATCTTCATTATCGGTAGAGCTGGTCTGGTGTTTTTGTTTGGGTAAGATTTTATTTTGAGGTTTGGCTTAAGTATAAACATATCAGATCAGTGCTTGACAGAAGATTTTCATATAAGTGAGAGGCATCTGAAGAGTTATTAGCGTGCCAGTGTTCTGAATATCTGTACTACCCAACAATCTATCCTTGTGGCAGAGAACATAGGAAAATCTGACGATGGCACAGATCAACAAATTTTCATACTATAGCGCATCGAGACATTTATGTCGGTTTTACTTTCAAAAATTGCTACCGCAATGTTTACAAAACCATAGCAGTTTGTAAACATAATCGGAAATCATTCTTTAAGTGGAGAACCTCACTGTGGTTTCACAGTGAGGTTCTGCCTGGGTTACAGCTTGATGATGAGTTAGAGCCTTTTTTTTCCATGTTCATGTCTGGAGGGAGAACCTCTGTTGCTTAAAACCTCAAGGCCTTATTTTTTCTGGCTTCAGAGCTTTTTCAAAACAGTTTTAAAAAAACTGTCAGCAAGTTGATATAGTTTAGACTCTCTTTTTGGGTTTCAGACTTGGATAATCTCCCCACACTCACTGTTTTTGCTTGTTACTCAACCATCCAACCTTTCAAAATTTTCAACAATATGTTCATCTTTGTGTTGAAAACTGCAGGTCACCTGTATATTTCACCACTGACAGGTGAATGTTGGCACCAGCTGTTCAAAGTGTTCAGTTTGCTGTCTCATCATTTTAGCTGTATTCAAGTTCATGACCTTTTTCCTTTTTCATTTTTTTCATTACTAAGCAACACTGCTGGTCGCTGACAAAGTAATGACTATCAGATTCATTCATGCTCATTCATGGTTTCACAAGGCTGCCTTTGTGAGTTCCTCACAGTCTCTTTCACATGGTTTGGTACAAGATATGTACAAATGTAAACAATAGCAATAAAAGTAGAAGAAAACGAGGGAAGAACAAGGAAAAGAAAAGTATGGTGTAAGACAAAGCATATCATAAAAGAAAAAAATCACCCGTGCGCAATACTTTGATTTTGACCCAAAATTAGCAGATGTATCCAGGGACGATCTGCTCCTCGAACTGAGACAACAGGAGGGGACTATTTTTTGCAAAGGGTGATATAAGCCCTATGCAAAAAATATAGGGCTTGTAAGGCAGCTTATCATGATTCAGCCAAACTGCAATAATCACATTATTGTTAATGTGATTCTTCCCACTAAGCAGTGAAAGTAAATAAAATGTTTACATGCTAACAGCTAGCTCCTCACTCCAGTGGCTCTGCGCTCTTCCTTCTACACTTTGGTCTGAACCTTTGTTCTAATAATGGTAGGGGGGACCTAAAGATTAATTCTTATTTTTTTTCTGAGATAAATGGCAGATTTTTTCATTTTTTGTTTCTTTTGCCTTTTCATATTGATATTATTTAAATGGGGGGACAATTCTAAACTGTTCCAAGATTGGGGTGTCCGGGTCCCCTGGGATTTATGCCTATGGCCGGTGCCGCACAGCTCCTTCTTTAAGTTTTGCTCAGAGCTCCAGGATAGTCAGTCTAGATTAATCTAACGCTCATAAACCATCATCAACATTTCCAAGCTGATCAATGTGATATCTGATCAATCGCTCCCTCTGAATCCTTCCATTGGCGATGTTCTCCATCAGAGTCAAAGCTCCACAATTACACCTTTTTACCTACTTTTATATGTGTGATTTTATACACACCTTGATCACGTTAAAAATAATCAAACCTGAACAGTTTGGAGTTAATCTGCTGATCGAACCCCGTTTTCTTTTTCATAGAATGAAATTACACCATAGATGCATTCCATGCCAACACCGTGTTACATCTTTATGAGACAAAAACTGAGGAATATTATTTACATTCGTATGAGGTTTTCACATCCTTTTATTTTCATTTTCTTTATTTTGTGTACGTGTTAGGTTATGGTCTGTGGATGAATGTGGTTCAATTGTGGATGAATTAACGTCTAAACAATCAAATATCCATCCATCCATTATCTGAGCACCCTTCTCCCTAACGGGGTCGGGAGGTGCTGGTGCCTATCTCCAGCTGCGTTCCGGGCGAGAGGCGGGATACACCCTGGATAGGTCACCAGTCTGTCGCAGGGCACAATCAAATATTAAAATCATTTTAAAAAAACTAAGTTTGATGCTTCTTGGTCTAAATAAACAAGAAGCATTGGTTAGATTTCAGTAGGTGAGTTTTGACACTTTGTAGTTTGGTATCGTTCACAGAAAAAGTTTGCGTGGCTGCCACACATTTTGTCATGAAGTGGTGAATATGAGGTAGTGAGGCAGATGCGGTAGACCCAAGTAGAAGTGAAGTGAAGGTTTAATGAAAAGAAAATCCAAGTAATGATACGGTCCAAGAGCACAATCCAAAAACAGTCCAACTACCTCACACTGAATGCGGGACCCACTAACCTTCCCGTTTCAGTCTGTGGGAAACCTTGTGGAGCACAGCAGAGTGGAAGCTATGGGGTCAACACCAGTGGCAAATAGCAAAAAGAATGGTCAGAGAGACTGGCTTGACAGACAAGGACCCAACAAGGAACAGAAAACACAGTACACTGAGGGTAGGGAAAGAAAACACACTTGGGAATAATCAAAGGAAGACAGGACAACATGGAGACTCAGAGACAACAGGAAACTCAAAGTGAATACTAAGAAAACCCCAAATCCTCACACATTTTCACACCAGGGAGGAAGTGTGCCTTTATTTACACAAACTTTGAGAAAAGTTCATTTTCATACATGCCGACTTGTGAGTGAAATATGGTGCCGCATGGTGCCCCACTTCCTCCACACCTTAGCTGCGCCCTTGTAGCCTTAAAGTTGATATAGTTAGATTGCTAAAACAGTATAATATTTTAATCGCTGATTGGAATGCAGTTTTCAAAGGACTTACAATTAGAAATCTATAAGGGGACAAATGTAATTGAGTGACCTCCTCTCGCCCGATGACCGCTGGAGATTGGCACCAAATAAGCAGACCTGCTCGCGACTCTACAAGGATAAGAATGTCAAAATAGATGTTTTTTCTCCCCCTAGTGATAAAATGAAGAAGTTCTGGGATAGTTTACGGTTGGCCAACGTATTAAAAGAAACATGTATACGGCTTGTATAAAGGAAATCTTGTTTTTTGTTATTCTGCGCGTTGAAGATAAAACGCTTATTTATGTTTTTCATGTTTAGTCATTTCTAAGTATAGCGGGAATATTGCAGGCTTGGTGGTCTGTTGTTTCCTACGTGTAAGCTGGTTTGACCGCAGCTTACGCAACAGCAGCTGTTCCTCTCTCCTGCAGTTGCACCATTACTGCGCTGCAGTCCTGGACCCACCCTGCAGCATCCTGCAATGTAATTTCAAGGCTCTCACACTCCTCCACGGGATTAAAATAATAATAAATAAATAATTAACTGCTGGACGAACAAAACATCCAAGGTAAGGTCATTTCTGAATTATATTAACAGTTTCTATTATGCAATCTCTGTCCCTGAGAGATAAATCTTGGCTAATTAAAAACATTGAATTTTTTTTAAAAATAGAAGGTAAATTCTGTGTGCTTTTCTAACTGTAGTCATATCAGAACCGGACGGAACATATAGGGAGCATGGAATTAGTAAAGTCTCATTCCTGAGACAAGGATGAGATGTGCTTACTTTTCTATTCACATGCTTGGGAAACTGCGTAAGTTTCCCAAGTGGTTCAATTATAAGGAGAGAGACTGAATGCGGGACCCGCTAACCTTCCCGTTTCAATCTGTGGGAAAACCTTGTGGAATTAAATTAAAAACAGAGCAACGACACTAAGTTCAGTCCGTCCCCTTGTAGAAGAACAAAAATGACATTATCAAGGTAACAAAATATCGACAAAATAAATGAATATCCACTATCAAACCAAGCGTTAAATGTTGTAGTGGTTTTACAGCTGGGCGGCGGCAACGGAGACATGCCGCTGTGCAGAGACTGGTGGGTGTTCGCATCATGGCACAGACTGCGCAAAGGACCCTCCAGTCCCCACCCCACTGAGTTGAGTAATGATGTTTGGATGCAGATAATGTTGGCTAAATTATGACTAACATTAGTTAGTCATGTGTGAGATAAATGACAGTGATTAGCCAAAATATCGCGTTAAGCTTTTCAGCAGTATGGCAGGAACGTGCAGAAGGTGGTAAGGTGAGGGGGGGACTCTGCCCCTTTTATCCTTGATACCCAAAATGCCCTTATTGATTTGTTTTATTTTCTTTTCCTTACATTTTTTAAATGTTTTCATCTGTAGGTCACCCCAACGGCCGGTACAGCCTGCTCACGATTCGCTCTGCTACATTTACCCTCACTACCAGGTAGGTTTGCAGTGCTGCTGACCCTTTTCTGCAGAACCTCAACTGCTGTTATTTACTGACAAATAACATAGTTGTTTTGCTTTGCTTTTTTCCGTGATTGGACGCTCTTCACTGACGTCATCTTTGTGTAACTCTATTGAATATTACATGACACGTGCACTTGATTAAATGATTGTTTGGTGACTTGTCTCTGATCAGCTGGAGATGTAGTGTGCCATTTGTCCAACTTTTCCCTGCCCTTAAGATGACCACACCAACAGGTTAAGGGAGATGGGAAGTCGATGCCAAAGACTGTGCTTTTTGACAGAGACAAACAAAATTATGAGAGAGACCATGTTCTCAGGTCACCTTGGACTGCAAGGCTTGAAGGACATGATTCTGCGTAAATGATGCTGAGGAAGAAGATGACTCAGAGAAAATGGCAAACTGATCCAGTTTCTATATGACAACTGTTTATCTTTAGTCATGAGAGAGGCAGCAGATAACGGCAGAAGACGGTGCAGATCCTGCACTATGCGGGCAAAGGGAAGACGTGGGAAATTAGTCTCTACATGGAACTGATATCTCTCCAGAAAGCTACCAATGAGTCTGTCACAGACTACATTATTCGAGCTGAAGCTGCAATCACTGCGCTAAGAAATGATGGAGAGACACTTAGCGATAGATTATTGATTACAATGACTTTTGAAAGGTTTGCCTGAGACATTAACCATTTGTGTCCAGATAACATAAAGCAGTGATAACCAACAGACTTTTGGCGAGCTCAAAGTTAAGCTGAGAAGTTATGAAAACACTGTGAAATTCAATGCAAATGTGATAATGTGATAAAATCCAGTGGTTTCATGAGCAAAGTAATGCAGAAACAAAAAGGAAGTTCAGAGTTGATCAATCAATCAAATTTTATTTGTATGGCATCTTTCAGCAACTAGGCATTTCAAAGTGCTTTACATCATAAAAACACAAAGTCTATACAAAGTCTATGAGAAAACAGAGGAGTATGGGATCAACTTGGTTCAAAACTAAGACTCAAATATTAGTGGAGACATATTAAGTGTTTACCTTTCAGCATTTGTAGATTATAAATATAATGTACATTAATTTCAAGCCTGTCACCCTCAAAAAAAGGGTGACAGGGTGGTAAACTTGTGTTCCTGTCTTTTTCTACTTTGTTTAATCTTGTGACACCAACTGAGCTTCGTTACCAGCAGAATGGCTAACAACAAGAAATGTTCAGCACCAAGTCTCTCTGCACGTCAGCTCCAGTCCCACCTCAAGATGGAGCCAAAGACTTTGGGGGTAAAAAGGCATTTGCATTTTGAAAGTTTAAAAGTGTATAATGTTTAATGTTTTTGCATAGAATGGTATTTCTATTGAGTAATATAATAGGTGAATTACACTTCTCATTTTGTTTTATAAATCTGTAATAATTACTTCCTGCATCCTCCTATATCCTTTCCAGGCAATCCAAATAGTTATTGGAGCTTTGATCCTATGTCTTAGTGCCTCTGTGCTTCAGCTTCATGAAGTACACTTCACTGGGGATGTAGCCCTGTTCCTCATTGTTGTCATACAGGTAAGACAGTTGGAATTTTTAGTTATCATATTTTTAACTGTGGCAAATTCTACTATATTTTATTGTGTGTTACTTATCTAAGACAAGATGTTGCTGTGATCTTTGCTTTTATTTTTTGTTGGATCAGCAGCCTAACCAGATTTTCTTGAATTTCATCAGGTGACATTGTCTGGCTCAGTATTGGTCCATAGTGGCAGAAAACCAACAATGTTTTGGGTAAGTCTAAATAAAATCTACACGTCTGTTTGTCTAGTGCAGTGAGGTACATGGCTGGTGAGGCACTGACTTAATCATAACCAGATTTAAAAATGTAGAGCCCCTGCCAATCCTTACAAGCAAATTATAAATGATGATTGCTTTTCCATTTTTTGTTCCATGAGCTAGAACACTTAACATGTTTACTGACTGCTGAGGATTATGTTTTCTTTGAGTAATGCATAGTCTGACTGTAGAGTAAATTTATTTGTGCATCCATTGTTGAACTAGAAATATTTCCTAAAGTCATGTTATTGGATGCCAACCAGAATAACTCTGCACATGAACGCTGCTGTTGTTATTTACAGGTGAAATGTGTCCTGGTGCTGCATCTGGTCAGTGCTGCATTTGCTACTGCTGCCCTGGGTCTTATGTCCAAACATCTCCCCTATCGCCAGGATTCCTACCACTGTGAACACTGCCGAAGACTCGAGCAACATGCTGTGGTATTGTGTTTAAAATATACAAAAATGGTTTCCTCTTATATTTACATTTTATTAACAGAAAAAGCTCAGAATAAATAAACACAGATGTTTCTAGTAGTACCAGCACCTCCCGACCCCGTTAGGGAGAAGGGTGCTCAGAAAATGGATGGATGGATGGATGTTTCTAGTAGTAATGACCAATAAATCTACCAAATTTCATGCATGTGGGAGCCAAGAATTGTCTTATACTTAAAGTCTTGCCTGGTGCGAGACTGAAACAATGTTTGCGGGACAGAAAGATACCGTTTGTCTGATTAATATAGTCAGTAATAGAATTTAATCAAACTGTAAAATGTGTACACTTAGAACTTTAGATGAACCGTTCAATTCTCCCATTCACTACCCGCATGAGAAAGGGCCTTACCGATGCCTGAGGCCATACAGAGACTTATATGTTATGGAATAGCAGAGGTATTTGATTCTCGTATTTATCTGAAGAGAGAAAATAACTTAAGAAGTTTTAAAATGTTGGAAGTTAGTTAGTTGAAAAAAAGTTTTTCTGTATTTTTCTATTTGATTTATTTTTATGTTGTCCCCATGAATAGGATTTCTCCATGTATTCAGTTTTTCCCACATTAAAAACCTTCATATTCATTTGGTGACATGGGAGAAACAAAAGAATGTGGCAATGACTTGTTCAATTCATGGGAACAGAATTATATGAAAAGTGAGTCAGTGACTAGCAGTTGTCAGCTGCTTTAAAAACGTGGACAAGTCACTCATTTTCTTCTGTTAATCTGAGAATGAAATGTAATTTTGTTCAGTCATTTGCAGTTAGGCATGGAGAAGGTGGTAGCAAGAGACACTTAATTCAAGTCCTCAAAAAGCACAAGTATAAGGTCCAAAATGTAAAATAAAACATTATTAAAACCACATTAACCATCAATGCACACTGTAATAAAGTCTTTGAACACATTTTATAATAGTTTATCGCAATAGTTTCCTCATATATCCTACGCAATTAAATCTTTGAATCTTCTGTCAATAAATGTCAAACTGTGGTCATTTAGTTGTCTTTTCAAACTGATTTTTCTGTATTAACCTACAGAATTGTTTTGCCCTAAAACTGTGACTGAGTGAACTTTTGGAATATAATACATTTGCAAGGAGACAGTGAGAGGGAGGCTTATATCACACAGAAAGCCCTTTCCTGGGTTGATCCATTTGTTCTTTGTGTGGAAAACATGGTAAAACTCCAATTTTCCCAATGGGCAATAGGGTCCGTGTATTTTCAGGCAGTTCGTTTTTTGAAATGAAGAATTATAAAACGAAAATAGACTTGTTTTGTTTGTGTTTGTTTTGCATTTATTAAGCCAAAATCCGATAACGGACCCCGAGCCGAGCCTTTATCCAATTTTGGTTTAATAAACACAAAACAATTCTTTTTTTTCTCATTTCAAACAAAATACAAACTGCCTGAAATTATACAGACTGTGACGGGGGTCTCTTATGACTTGGGCCACCATACACACAAAAAAAAATGACGGGCCAAGGCCAGAGATTACTTTAGTAATATTTTATTTTCTATCCGTGCAGTGAATCAAAAAAAGTGGCAGGTGCAAAATATTTACAAAAAGAAGTCCAAGTCAGGTTAAAATCAAAACAGCACAGCAATCAATACCTTCAAAGTCCAAGAGTCTCACCTTCAGTGTGGCACCTCTAGAGTCTAGGTGCAGACTGACTCCCTGTGGAACAGAGCCCTGCTTTAAAGCCACAGGCTCCTCCCCCAGAAAGTCCAATCAAAACAAAACAAAACAAAAAACAAAGCAATTACTTCTAACTCAAATAAACACCTAAAATATACAAAATAATAATAACAAAAAATAAATACATTTGTAAACAAAATACACTCAAAATAGAAAACAGCCAGCACATTGTAATGACAGCACCATATTACGTAATTCGCTCCCGGTGCGCCACAAACCAGAAACTACTCAAAAAGAAAGCCGGGAAAATGTTTGACTGAAAATAACAAATTAGAATAAATGTCAACTGAAACGAAAACACCGCGTGTGCACCCACGATGGACCGCCTCAGTTTAAGCTGCAAAAGTTAATGACTGTGCATGTTTATGTATGTGTGCTGGCTTGATAACACGGACTCTTTAATTAGATCTCCGCTCGTGACGGCTCGTCTGTCACACAGACCCAAAACACCTTAGCACCTTCATGGTATGTATTGAAGACGTATCATATTGGTATGTTTCCTTGTAATTACCACTCTACTAAAAGCCTAATCATGGACTAGTTCTGCAAACTGGCCATTGTCCAAAAGGGCTTTGAGATAACTGTCTCTTTTAAATCCATCAGTTTTGTTTCATCACTGCTTAAAAATCTAGATGACAGTGTGCTCTCTCTACTTCTGTAAATCTTATTCTTTCACTCTTAAACCTGAAACATACAATAAATTAGATGTTCCTAGACCATTTATTTCATACCAAAAAACATTAAACCCATAAGTTATTCAAAACCCCTCAAATCTGACTTTGTTTCCCCAGTACTTATTTCTTACAGTTGTCCCCACTCTGCATTTGCATCATCCTGATATCAAATCTCTGTATCCTCATAATCTGCGTATACTTAAAGAAAGGAAGAATATCATTGAGTGTTAAAATGATTACTTTTCTCATTAATCTGTAAATAATAAAAGCTTCTGATTATTAATTGAGAAGGATAAGTAAATACTTTTTAATT